TCCCGCACCGCGGCTCCGCACATCCTATAGCCGGGGTGGATGTGGCTCTCCTGGGAACATGCTCTAACCCCCACGAGAGCGGCACAGTTGAATGTTACGCATTGTTGCTTTGATCAAAGCGCAGCCGCTATGGATTTGATGAACTTCAGCAGAGACTCAGGTTGTTTGAGCCCACAGCTCCATGGTACGGACTTCAGCGCAGCTGTAGGCCACATTCTATGCTGCAGGAGAGTGTATAGCTGGGACATCATACCCCAGCTATATGGGGCCGTGGTGTAAGAGCGTTACGGGAGACATCCACCTGGCTATAAAGCCCCGTTCAGGCCGCCACCTCCTTCCTGCGCGGTAACGGCAGTTTGACCGCCTGTTTCTTAAAAATCTGCAGCGTGAGTTTATTAAAATACCGCCCTGTCCCGCGGCGGAAAATTCCTTAGAGAATCATGACTCGTTCACAAGCACATTTCACCCTCTTTAGAGCCAGGGGCTAAGGGATTAAAAAAAGTCATAATTACGTTATTTTGTGAGAACAATGCCACTCTGTAATTTTGCATCACTGGACAAATTACGATCATCTGATTAGTGACGGTTCTTAAGATGGCTTACAGTAGACCGACGAAACATGTTAAAAGGTAAATCTTTAGAGGCAAAAAAATCACATTTACTGGAAAACTTTTTTTTTATTTGTGCTCTAAATTTTTTGACACCTCATGCTCCCTCCCCCCAGCTCTACAGCGAGTTTCTTTGGATAACTAATGAAAACCTGCCCCATCTCTTCTATGGCTCGCTTGATAAATACGCACCAAAACTCATTGAGCTTTACAAAAAGAAGAGATCAGGTCCCTGGGGGGAAAAGATGGAACAACTTCTGACAGTTTATGAACAGGTAAGTGACTTAAATTCAAATCATCATATTTAGATTTTTGTTAATGTGTTGTCTTTTCAGGAGAAGAATGACATAAATGTCATTAGAACAGTAGCCCTGTCCGGCCTAATAATCCATTTGAAGGAGGACTCATCTGATCTCTTCCGGATATGCAAGGTAAAAAAAAAAAATTGTTAAGGGTTCTATTCTGTTGGTTGGGGGCGGCGTCTATAGTAAATTGATTAGTACAAATGGATAACTGGATTATTCTCCCCCATGCAGGACGAAATGGATTTTCAAGAGGGAACTGTTGCACTTGTGGCTATGGCTGATGATGTCCCAGGCGGTGTTCCATTCTCCACTCAACAAGTCTTCATTGTGCTCGAGGACCAGGTTGTAATGTCCAGCACATCATGGACTGATGCTCTTGTGTGTTTGTTTGGGTTGATTTATGCTCTGCATCTGAGCTACCCGGAGAAGTGCATTGGCTTTTTTGAGTTCATTCAAGTGATTCTTTAAAAACTACACAATGATAGACGGCAGCTTAAATCAAAACTGCAGTCACTTCAAAATGTGTTAAATGAATAGTCTATCGATCTAGGGCCGAGCTGAAGTTTTAGTTGATAAATTGATGGCTTTTTGGTTTACCTATGTATGAAGGATTCTGTGCCAAAATGATCGGAGCTATTTTAGACATCAAAGCCACATGTTTATCATTTTTTTTAGAGAAAGATGCAAAAGCTTTAAACAAATTTTCCGCAAAAACGTGTGGCCCAAATTTTGTGGTGCCAAAATTAATTAGGCACCACTGACGACGATTTGACTGACAATTTTTTTTTAGTTTATTTGTGCAACCATGAGACATTAAAACAGACTAAAAGTACAAACGATTGTCACAAGACTGGTAGCATATACAATAAGGTGCAGAAACAACCATTGAAGTGCTTTCAGATGACATCAGTATTTAACTATATAAAAGGAATTAGAATTCATTTGAATTACCAATTATTTAACCTGTAACCTTAGTGTTCAATTCATCAACAAAAGATTTATAATTTGTTCTCTGAAGTACAGATGTCTAGTACTTTCTACCAAAAATGCCAATCTGTTGTATTCAAAAATTGTGTTCCTTGGCCTGTCACAATAACTATTTTTGTTAGACTAGTGCTTTTGCAATGCAGCAGGGCTAATCTGAACTACGCTAACTATACATATATGAATGCACCATTTTAGTTCCCTTTTGTTTAATGAGATGCAAAAAATATCATTGTGATGGAGAGCATTGTTTTACAAAAAATGTTGAACATGATTTACATTTTTTTTTACAAAAATAATCAAACATCAAGGTGCTTTGTAATTTTCTTTTAAATACATTATTCAATCTTCATTTACAGACAAATATTGAGTCAAACTAGTAATTCGCTACTTGCCCACTACCATATTGCATTGTGAGCTTAAAGGAATAGGCCAGTTTTAACATACTGACATACGTTCTTAACTTACCTTAGACTAGTTGATATGTACCTGTCTGGTCTTAGTCCGTGCGCTCTGTCATGCAAACGGAGCAAACGCACAAACTTCCACATACTGTATAGTAACGGAATCAGCTCCCGGTTAGAAGCTACAACTCTTTCACGTGTTCCCTATTTAAATAGTTACGTGACGTTTTACACTACCAAGTATAGTAACCCAGAAATGTAACATGCCGATTTTCTCATCGGATAAAAAGGGGCACTATATTGTGAGGCGTAATAATACGAGCGCTACGTCTGCCCACTAACTCCTATAGACTTCTCTCCCGCTCACTTCCGTCAATAGAAGCAGCGGGAGCGGGAGAGAAGTCTATAGGAGTTAGTGGGCGGACGTAGCCTCCTCGTATTATTACGCCTCACAATATAGTGCCCCTTTTTATCCGATGAGAAAATCGACATGTTACATTTCTGTGTTACTATACTTGGTAGTGTAAAACATCACGTAACTGTATTTAAATAGGGAACACGTGGAAGAGTTTGGGAGCTTCTAAACGGGAGCTGATTCCGTTACTATACAGTCTGTGGAAGAGGCTGCGTTTGTGCTCCGCTTGCATGACAGCACGGACAAAGACCACACAGGTACATATCAACTAGTCTAAGGTAAGGGAAGAACATGTCAGTATGTAAAAGCGGTGGCCTATTCCTTTAAAACTTAGGGCCTGATATTAGCTTCCCTAAACCTTGTGTGTGTCGAGTTTAAACTTCTCGCAATCTTAAACAAACCTGTTCCTTATAACTTAATACAGCCTATATTGGTTACCCCCAGCGCTGCTAAGCATTATGGGATTTGTGCAAGTAGTGACTATAATTGTGACAAGCCTGATGTTTCCTTAAATGTTATAAACTGGTTTCAGAGACTAGTTGTATAAGAGGTGATCTTTTGTCAATAAACATGTTCATTGGGAGAAGGTGTTTGATACTTTATTTTATAAATCATTTTAGTCTTACCTCAATGTAAAGCAAACCATTTGAAATGGGTTTATGAGAGTGAAGCAAACCATTTAAAATGGGTTTATGAGAGTGAAGCTATTGGGTACAACATTTGAAACCATAGAGTTAAGGTGTATCAAATGTATAAGTAAACTTATACATATTTAAATAAGTCCCGAGTAATGCAGCATTTGAGTATGGAGACTATTTTATTTGAGTTTACATGTTTGTGCAGTAAGTCCAATTCATTAACTTAATCAATTTTTTAACCCAAGTATTTGAGTTCACATGATCATTTCAATTTGAGTACTGGTAGAACTTCATTGGTTTAAGTTGATTAACTAAACGTATTAGTGGAATCAGTTTCCTCAAATCATTTGAGTCCATCTAACCTGTTGGGTTTTACAGTGTAGAATGAGTCTGGTGTGTGTGTGAATGGTTGGTGGTGGTCGGAGGGCACATACTGGTTGCCTCGCTTCTGACGGTGTGCCCCAGGGCAGCTGTGGCTATAGTAGTAGTTTATCACCACCGTGTATAGAGTGAATTATTAATGACATAAGAAGCGTCTTTGAGTGTCCAAAAAAGCGCTCTCTAAAACCAATGCATTATTATTAAGTGAGCCAAGGTGAAGGCCCCCTTGGCTCTGTTGATAGTTCATGCGCCTGCTTCCTCATTTCAATCGTCGCTCGTATCCATCTTTTGTATCAATCTTCTTCCATTCTAATTGTTTTTGCATTATTCCAGTCCATTATGTGATTTTCCTCTTTTCCAGTGGCCCGATATTGCTGATTTGAAAGTTTCTTGTGTTGCTTTTTCCTTAGTCGTGCTGCTACGGCGTCTAATTGGTGGCGCAGCTGTAATCTCCTTGAATCAAAGAGCAGCGTACTTGTTTGTTCAGGGGGAGAACACTAAATCCCGTCTTGAAGCCTGTGATCATATAGCGAAGGCATTGTGCGTGTCTTCGAAACACTAACGAAGCACTGCACAGACTGCTCTGACAAACGATCGCGATTCTGCCTTTGAGCACATGGCACACGCATCTGGACATGGAATGTGTCATACGGCCAAATGCCTCTCTGCGGAAAAGTAATGACGGTGTAACAAGAGAGCGGATTTAATTACATCTGTACAGTAAAAACTAACATTTCCACAGCTGCAAATTTGTGGTGCACTCCATGTTATGTGGCGAAGAGGGCTTGCCTTGAAGATTTGATGTCTTGTTCTGTGATGATCTTTACTGAAAACTGCAGTGTTTTATGTGGTTTTCTTCCTAATTAGCGGAAAGCGTGTGCGTACTTGTCTTTTTATTGTGTAAGCCGGTGGCAGGCATGGAGTCGAATCTGCAGTTACTTCTATTCTTTCATCTAAGCTTGACTTGATCACGGCTGTAGCTGCAGTGGTTTTGGTGTCAACAGAGAACTGATTAATTAGCTTGGAAAACGTACAACAGAACATAAAAGCATGAATCAAACAGAAAAGGTAAAAACTAATCATTTTATTTTTACTCACTTTTACTACACACTCATTAAAGCTTTTTAAATCTTCTATATATTCTGACTGTAGGCTAAAGTAGACAAATGCTGAACTGCACTAATCACCACAAAGTCAACTTAATCATAAAAATTACACACATTGTAAAAACAGTGCAAGATAGACAAACTGGTGATGGCGTAAGTTCATTTTTCCTTCTTCTTCCTGTTTGCAATGTTGCTACAAATCCAGTTCATGCCATCCTGGAGAGAGAGAAAACATCAACACATTATACATTTTTAAATACTAGGTTTAATATAATATGGAATTGTAATTTTGACATCATTTGAAGTCCTGCCTAAGGCTTATTAGAATTGAAAGATTCCATTAGTGAGTTTAATAGATTTGGCACTTGCTTTTGATCCTTTGGTCCTGTTCTGTCAAGCCTAAACTGGCAAGCTTCTAGGTCATTTTACATAAACTCTAGTGTACTGTATTATGAGACATAAAACACCACGAGCCAGGTGATGTATTATGGTTGTACTACTTCTATTTACAACTTACATGTTGTATTGAGTGGCTAACAACTTAAAATTATTATATAAATTCTGATAATAAAGAATACTTCTTTTAACTCATTGAATCTTCTAAGATGCTACACATGGCGTACATGGTGGTGATTAAGTACTGTAGCCACAGCTACCCTGAGGCAGACTAAGGGAAGCAAGGCAAGTAATCTGTGCTATCAACACCTCCGGCCACCAAGGACAAGGCCATTTAGCTGTCCAATTATGGCACCTGGTGTTCCCTGAGGTCTCCCATCACAGTACTAACCAGGCGGTACCCTGCTTAGCAGTTGAGGACTGACAGGATATGGATTTCACATGCTAGCCACACAAATGTAATTAAAGAATCAAAAAGAAGCAATTCACATTACGTTATGTAAATTCATCACCTCTACCAAGGAGGTAAAGTAATCACCAGAGGTTGTTTGTCTATAAGTTACATAAGAAGGAACTAAACACATGTTCTAAAGAGTCTAGAGCTGAAGAGGGGAGTGGAGGAGAGTGTCTGACCTGCACCCCCTCCCCGGACACAGCGGAGCAGGCCTGGATCTGCCACTCTCTGTCCCGGTACGTGTGCAGGTTCAGGCCCTCGGCGATCTCGCTAGCCGGGGACGCTGTAGCCAGGTCCTGTTTATTGGCAAAGATGAGAACGGGAACGCCCTTGAGATTTTCCTCGTCAATCAACTCGGACAGCTCCTGCGCAGGCAAACATACAGCGCATCAGCGTCTTCACTCAATGGCCTTCATACTTCAGCCAATTACAGACAGTTCTATCAATAAAACATAAGGCAGAGATCTCACCAGTCCTGTCTCCTCGAAGCGCTTCTTGTCTGCGCTGTCAATTACATAAATCTGGAACATAAAACGAGCAAAACAATGTCATGGGAAATTGGAAAAAATACATATGGATGAAAGCTGTATTTACCAAGAGATCAGTATTTTCCAGATATTTCTTCCAGAAGGTTCTGATTTTTCTCTGTCCCCCGATGTCCCACACGTTAAGTTTCATACCATGAGAAGCCACACTTTTTATGTTGAAACCCTGTAAAAAAGACACTTCTTTATAACTTAATCTTATCTTAATCAGCATTTTTGGGTTTTTTGAATTTGACATTTTTGTTTTGTATGTAGGACGGCGATTGGAAAAATCAAGTCAAATTTACAAATCAGGCAGTAATCAGTCCTCCTGACAATACATTTGTGAGACTGTAATCATCCCAAGATAAAAGCTATTCCAGCTCCAACCAAATCCTCTTTGTAAAAACTGAAAAATTCCATTTGACATCGCACAAAATACACACGCACACAAACATACACAAGTATATGTAAAAATGTATATACATATACATATACACAGTATATATATTTATACACACAATATAATATATAACATATACATATAATCTGGAACAGTCTCCCTGAAAAGCTGAGAAGCGTCTACTCTGACAATTCTCAAATGCACTGTGGTTATTTATTATTTTAATCCCTTGTGGGGTTCTAATGTTTTAATTACCTGTGTGATTTTAGTTGTGTTTTTGATGGTGATGTTGGCGCCCTGTGTAGGAAAGGCGCTCTACAAATAAAGATTGATTGATTGATTGACATATACACAACATGTACCAGCTTTCCCCTTGTATCATCTGTACATATTTTTCCCAAACCTCTTCCCCAGCCTGCCGGAGCTTGTGTAACCTCTTTATCCCGACAAGTGCGGTTGAAGAGCAAATCTGAGGATAAGACTGGACGGATCAGCCGAGCGGTGGTGTTTATATGTCAAGTGTGATTTAGATTTACAGTGATTATTACCATGTTGATGCCAATGGGCCTCTCCACCCCGCGCTCCATTGGCCTTTTCTGGTACAATAAAACGACATCTGCGAGGCATGTAACTGTATCGAGCAAGCATCTAGTTCGGATTATGAAGTGCACATAGGGATGTTTCCTGTAAACCAGATATTGGCAGATAAGAACTGCAATCATGAGCCAGCTAAATCTGCCCATTTCTTCTACTAGTCCTTATTAAAGAGCTGTTATTTCATTTTGCACAACGCTACAAAAGCAAAGGTCATGTGAATCCTATTACGGCGGAAGAGAGCATGGTCCAGCTGGTCTCACAAGATTAGATCCAATCCTCCAGCCATTTGTAAAGCTCCGTGTATACAGTGCGCACACAAAAAAAAGAGCTAAGAAAAAATGATTGCTACCTTTGCTTGTACTTGTGTAACTCTGCTTTTCTTCTAACAAAACTTATTCTGTGATAAAGACTAAAATGAGGACGCAAAAACAAAATGAGTGCCTGAATTTAGAACCACTTTCAAATCATTGTGTGTCTTTGTGTGAGGCATTAGTTGTTTACTTCAACTCGCCGGATGAAGTAAACACAACATTAATTATTTAGTATTATTATTATTATTTAAAATATAGAAGCACTGAGGGAGTATGTGGAGGGGTAAGAGGGTGTAGGGTCAGAGAGTGTTTGGGCCGGTGTCTCATCTGAGTCAGTATTGTTGTTTTCTTTATTTTATTAAGGACAATGACACTCAAGACAGACGCATACACACTTAAAGAACGAGACATAAGCTAAACAAACATATTCTAAATTATACTCACACAACAAGAAACAGACAAAATCAAGTACTTCTCTAATGCGTGTGTGTGTGTTTTGAGTTGTCTGAGTGCGAGGGGTTCTGAATTGTCCGATCTATTTAAAACTGCTGGTTAAATGTTTGTACCCGGTTTTAGTCTTCGTGCTGTACATAGGTTTGAAAATGACTATACTATACTATACTTGTGTTGGCGTGATGGTGTTGACGTCCTCTGAGGCCAGGCTCTTCAATAGAGTGGTCTTGCCTGCGTTGTCCAGTCCCAAAAGCACTATCCGGACCTCCTGCTCTGTGGTTCCCTTCAGCTTCTCAATGACAGAGAGCAAGCCCTGCACAAAACAACATAGTGGCATTTTAGATGAATAGGCCTGGAGATGTTTGCAAGCTAATTCACACACTGTTTTAGCATTCTCAACAGCCCTCATTATTTATACAGTTTACCTATCCTGGGAAAGAGCACCGCTGACAGGCCGTTTATCACTGTGCCTTTCAATTTGGTTAGTATTTGTGACTTGAATAACACATAGGAACGAGCCCCCTGGAGTAGCAACTATTGTATCGGTAAGAATAATCTAATGATAATATATATATATATGATAAGATTTCATAGAGCTTGGGTAAACTTTTCTCCCTTTCTTTTCCTCTAGTTTATAACAGCTCTGACCGGTTGGGTAACGTTTAATCTGTGGCCTAATTTAGAATATTTCACAAATAAAATCATTGTGTGGATGTGTCCTTCATTCACAAAAATGGGGCCAATTTCAGACAAAGACACAAGAAATAGAACTTAAAGCTGGGGTGTAACCAATAGAACTGTATGTAAAAATTTGATAGATCCATTTTGGGATCTACCATTGGTTTTGGCATCTGTGACATCTTTAGATCAGCTTTTCAGACAGAAAAGACGACCCTTTCAGACCAGCCTCATTCAGCCCGAAGTGTCAAATAGTGACTCACAGGGCTCTTTGTTGCAAGTAGGCCAAATATAACAATGTTTATCTTTTAGATGTTTTCAAATACAATAAAGACAGTACGTTGTGGTCTGATTTGTTTTTTTTAAAGAAACTCTGTTGGGACAAAGAAATTATTATCCATGAAACAAGCAAGTTGGACACCCCACCATAAGTGCAAAGTGCAAATGTTAAATCCATAACTTTTGTTTCTATAATTGGCTAGTTTGACCAAGAGACGAGCGATCTAAAAAGCATTATTTTAAGTCCAAAGTGTCATCTCTCATCCAAGCGTCTTACCTTTTGAGCTTCTCCCATCTTGCTGTCTCCCCTGTGGCCTGTGTAGGGACTCCAGCTACATTCTCCAGTGGCCCTCACTCAGGTGCTGACAGCTATCCAGGTGCCCCAGGAAAGCTACCCTCAAAAAAACTATTCCAAATGCTCTCCTCTTTAATCTTCCACTCCAATTCTTCAAGTTTAAGCGCAATCGTCTACCTCTATACCTGCTAATTTGCTCCTCAGGGCGAGCGAGGAGGAAGAAGGGGGGAGGATGGATGGGTTTGGGATTAGGAGGCCAGAATTAGCCCTGGTCATCCACGCACAGGCCACACTACACACTCACCCCACCCCCAGAGCAGTGTCCATGCCTGCAGCTTCTCCACTTTACACTGGCTTTACGTGGATTAACTCGTCACCACCTGCTATACAGGAGGGTTACACAGTCCCACTACAAGCACTAGTACATGGGGAAAACACTGTACACTTTCATGGATAACACGTGTGGTTTATACTTCCAGGGATTAAGTTGTGCAAGTTTTATTTTCAAATGCTGCCCGTCTAAAGTAGTGGGCAGCATTATTTCCCTGTGTATCCATTACATGAGTGGCATCCCAAAGCGGCTCTTTGCGCAGTGATGTGCATAGCTGTGAGCAGAGCATTCGAGCAGGATTAGTCTCACCACGCCTGCCTCTCTGGATTAAAACATTTGCAGGCTCTTTTCCTCAACTCCGCGGGCTTTGTGGTCCAGGGGTGTGGCTATATGTAACTGCTGTGCAACACAATAGATGACTGATAGCCTATAGGTCAGTGCTTGTCAATTTGAGCCACACCTGATTTTTTTCACAAATGCATTTATTATTAATATAGACATTTCTTAATGTGTACATTCAAGCACATTGCAAGCTATATAATTTATTGTATATTTTACTTAGGCCAGGAAAGTCCCATAGAGATAGAAGGCAGCACAAGTGACACCTACTTAAATACAGTTTTAAATTTACATGCACATGGACATAGATTATTCAGATCAATCAAAAACAACAAAAGGATAATGTAAGTCTTCCTACTCAATGAACCAATGGCTTCCACAGTTGTTCTTAAAAGTTCACACCCACAGTTAGGGTAAAATTGTTGGCCATTTTTTGTACATGTGTGGTTTATTGTCAAATAAATATGTCTAATTTTCAATTTATCATGATAACAGAAACTACCAAAATGTCCCTGATCAGAAGTCTCCATTCCAGAGTCCTCAATAGCTTAGCTTATGTCTTATGTGCTAGCTCTGATGGTAAAGCTGCACATTCGTCTTGTTAAAAAAGCCTCCAGTTTCTCTTCATTCTTGGACCGCTTTGTATGAACAGCACATTTCACAGATCGGTTTAATGATGCCATTATTTGGGAATAGAAGCCACGTTTATTAATTCAACTCAACTAAATGCATTCTTGAATAGCCCTAAATCACAACAGTAGGTATTGGTGCATAAGGGGCAGATGACCAACTCCCATAAAGTTTGATAAATGTGCATAAATGTTGTTGAATGTTGCGTGTCCTGGATCATCACCTTGTGTCAGACCCTACTATTAGGCATACACGTTACAATAAACAATAAGCGGGGAGAAGACATTTTTGAAATTCTCCCAAAAATATGACTAAAACAATTCATATATTGCCTTTCCTGTGTTTCAATCTCCAATCTGTTGCTGGCGTAAATGTTGTCCTCCGTCTGCTTCTGTAGGTTATGGCTAGACAAAAATATGTTTAATTTAACAACAAAATAAAATAAATCTCCTTGAATCAAAGAGCAGCGTACTTGTTTGTTCAGGGGGAATAAATAAAATCAACAACAACAACATTTATACCAGAGTGCTTTGTTGGAGCAGCTGTGCCATGGATTGACTATGGAGCTTTTGTTGGGGTTGGTGGAAGGCCCCCGTTTTGCAAATTCTGAGCTCTTCGCATTGCCTGCTGTCTCAGATCAGCCCTCTGCTTGTTCTTAACTGTCAGACAAGAGAAAATCTATCCAAACTCTAATAAAATATTGAATTGTATTGTCTTTCTGGTAAACTCACCTTTGTCCCTGTGCATCTTGATCTTCATGGACAACCCCATGATGATGACCAAGGCCAAAGCTGAGCAGCCACAGATCACCAGGATGATGATTCTGTTGTCTGAAAGAAACCATTTCAGAAACTCAAGGTCTACAGTGGACAAATATTGGACACTATTGTTTTACAGACATTCCTCCTCTTTTGTCTTAAAGCTCCTGTCTCAGTCCTGTAACAGTGTGATGTTTTTGTACTCTAACAAAAGTATTTCCCATATATTAGTTTTAGAAATGACATGCTTTACAACTGCATTTTATTGTAGTTGTAAAGTATAATGGAAAAGAAAGTAGAACGACTTCTACACCTCCCTCTGGTGGTAGCATAGAGATGGAGCAGGCTAATAGCATAGTTTACCCAATTTTGCCATTTCTTTTCTACACAAGATATATTCTACTTTCTAAAGCATGAAATGACAAAGTAAAATGTCTCGGTATATATTTCTAATGGCAGACAATAATGCATACAATGTCTTCTTTAGACTAAAGACTATTCTCTTTTGCCATTTCTTAACATGCCAGCAAAAACAGAATTTAGATGGAACCCAAAGAGAAAGCAGACCTTGCAGCAGGAAGGTTGCATTGTGCTCCTTTGAACATAATACTGTGTAGCTCTGGTGGTACAAAGAGGGAGCGTGGCTTTTCTTACTGCTGATAGTGACACTCTGTGGACCAGAGGTGTAATTGCCGCAGAGGCTGTGGACAGCACAGGTGTACAGGCCTTTGTGGTCAGAGACGGTCTTCTCAATGAAGAAGAAGCTTGTGTTCCCTGTGTGCACAGGGGTTTTGTTCATCATCCAAGTGTAGCTGAGGATGTGCTCCTTGGGGAGGTGGTGGCAGCAGCTCATGTTGACACTCTCACCCTCCTCCACCTCATTCTTAGAGATGTTTAAGACCACCTTAAAGTCTACACACACAGATCAAAGCAGAGTCAACTGTTGCATTGGGGAAGACAAATCCACGAAACATATGTGAATATTCAACAAACTTACCTCTCGTGCAGTTGTTCTTCATAGCAGTGGCTAAAGTTTCTAAAAAGAAACACAAATCACAGGCAATTCGTACAGTTTTTGTAGTGAGGCCCTCGTTTAAAGTGTGTGTCAGTTACTTTTAAAGCCTGGTTAGACCCGCCCATGTTCACTTCTGCAGCTCCCTGATTGGTCAAACATATATCACATATATATCAAAGACCCCTCATCATTGGTTGAAATATTCTCCTCCAGAAAATAATACTGATCGTAATTATGCCAAGGGGGAGGATTATTTAACAGATACTATAGTTGAAAAACACTTACTGCACATTAAAGTACAGTGCCCCATCCATTTAAAAAAAATGAAATTGAAGTTGCTTTCATCCTAATCATTAACAATTTTAAAACATGTTCAAAACACACACACACGTTTTTGTTACCTGGTGGGTCCCTTTGACAGGGCCGTTCAGAATGGGACCCATAGACATAATCTTTTTTTACTGGGACTACTTTAATACAAAACAGTCAATAGAAAACAAACTCTTTTAAAGGAATTTTATTTTAGATTTTTTTTTCGAATTGCAGTGATTCTATTTTTGACATAGAATTTAATGCCACTCCATGTCCGATGTCTAAGGTCATCTGGTGAGGCATTAATGCAGGCCAGGCAGTGAGACTTCCCAGGGACCTTTCCAGTCTGTATGAAAGGCGTCATGGTCTTCTCCACAGCCTTCACCTCAGATGCAGACCATGGCTTTCTTACACGTTCTAGGGAGAGAAATAAAAATATATTAGCAATATACACTCCCAGGGTTAGGACCAAGCAGCCTGGCTGTAATCCCCCACCTGGTACACTTACCAGAAGGGGCACTGCCACTACCATGGGGTGCATCTGGATGAATGGTTGAAGGTTCTCCGCTTGAAGTTTCTTTTAGCCCGTCCGTGTGTGAGAGGATCTCTACTGCTCTCCCTGTCGCACAGAAAATAAAAATACAAGTGGCCTTTAGGGGAAAAAAATCATACATATTTTAATAATATCAAGAATTACCTTCAGGCTCAATTTGTATCTGGTCGAGGCTCTTTCCTTCGAATTCCGTCACTCTTCCCTGCTCCATGGCCATCAACACTTTGCTGATTTTGGCCAGCTCCAGTGTCCCCTCTGGTAGTCTGTAATATTGTCTGTGGATGCGAATGTCATGGCCGAGGAAGTTGGCTAGTATGTCCATTTCATTCTCTTTCATATTGAGAACTGTAGACATAGTAGCTATGTGCTTTCTAAGTTTGGTTGAGGATAGCATCTCTGGATGCACCGCACCACATTCTTTGGCTACCTGCCGTAGGGAGTCTGATCCCCTGATGTGGGTGTCTGCGCCCGGGCGGGAGAAGAAGTATGGGTTATGGTCAGATGGAACAGGCCCTTCTGTTCTCCACCAGCACCTCCATCGAAGCAATCATTTCAGGAGTCAAAAGAACCGGCACTTTCCGACTTCTTTTCCCTTTAATTTCAATGCGTTGAAAATGCCGACACAGCTTTTTCTCAAGTTCGGACAGTCCCAGAGCAATGTCAGAATGGATCCCAGTCTTACTTCTTAAGGTAAACGCTGTCAGTGGCATCTTTGAAACCTCACCTTCCCTTCTTCGATTGAAAATAATGACCTCACAAAGAGTCAAAACTGCCAGTTTAGACCAATGCTTAGACGTTGGCTCACTTATTAGGGTTTGCACATATTCAGGTCGACATACCTCAATATGTGCATGCATGGCTCTAACGTCCTCAGTCAGAGGGAGCAGGTCCGGAGTGTTCCACTTGGCTTGCCGGAGGGTCTGTAGGGCAGCAGAAGAAACACAGACGTCCCACCTCTTCTCAAAAAGCAGCCGGCTTCGTTGGAGGTTTTTAATAAATAGTTCATCAACACAATGCTCCATTTTTGAGTCACATTCAAGAATATCTGCTAGCTTTCTGAGGCTATGGCCGAGTTTGAGGGCCAAGGATGGAGTCTTGTATTGATTTGTTTCCTCATCATATCCAGCCACAGACCTGACTGCATCAATCACATGGTTAAAGTTGGAAGGAATAAAGAAATCCTTAATTGTTTTCAGTTTCCCTGCGGTTTTTGCTTCGTTAATTAACCTACCGACTTCTCTCATTTTCTGCCTAATGTAATCATGCTTAGTCTTATCATGCCCGTGTTTTAAGTACAGGTGCTCGCTTAAGCAATGCCCCACAGTCTATACAGTGCAAAAACTCACTGGATTTAACTGGGGAATTTGGCTGTTTAGCTGGGACTAAAGTTCCAATGCCGGCCTTTAAAACCTCAAAATTGTGCTCACGGTTTCCACTATTCCTGATCAAATCAAACTGAAGTTTACGTGCTTTAGATTTCACAGGTAGAGCCAATGCTCTGGCTACGTCACTTTCATTTCCATGTTTTCTAGTCAAATGACGAGACATTTTGTGGCAGGACATTGAACAGTAGAGGCAGAAGTGTCTCTTGCTGTAAACTCGCCCCCCATTTTTCTTCTTTTGCAGCTGCATGATAACAATGGGCCTCATTCACGAACGGTTCTTAGGAACAGATTTGTACGTAAATCCTACTTACGCGGTTTTTACGAAGAAAGTGGCATTCACGAATATTTCTCGTAACCAGAATTTCTCTTGGGCAAGTACAAATCCTACGAGTCCTCAGGAGCACTCGTACGCATTCAGTGCCGACATGTTCACACGCTGGGGTTGTCCTCTTTGGTGAAGTTGAATAAAAATACAACATTCCAGTGATATGTCCGTCATATCGATGTATGTATTTATTTATTTGTAGTAATCTTTATTAGTAATCTTTATTTATATACCGCCTTTTTCACTGCAGATCTGGCCTACTTTTTAATTCATTTTGAAATGAAATGTGCCAACGCTTTATCAAATACATTGGAAATCTTGCCGTGTATTAGTGACCCCTTCCTATTTATAGGGGGCATTTCTTTATCCACGGGCCACAGAACAACGGCATATATACTGCTGCTGCAGGAGGTTACTGGGTCCGCGCTGAGTCTCTGCGCTGGTCTCTCCTATGGATCTATATGGGTCTGCACTGGTCTCTCCCATGGATCTATACGGGTCTGCACTGGTCTCTCCCATGGATCTAGACGGGTCTGCACTGGTCTCTCCCATGGATCTATACGGGTCTGCACTGGTCTCTCCTATGGATCTATACTGGTCTGCACTGGTCTCTCCCATGGATCTATACGGGTCTGCACTGGTCTCTCCCATGGATCTATATGGGTCTGCACTGGTCTCTCCCATGGATCTATACTGGTCTGCACTGGTCTCTCCTATGGATCTATACGGGTCTGCACTGGTCTCTCTCCATACGGGTCCGTGCTGCATGCTCCTGGATCCATACGGGTCCGCGCTGGTCTCTCAAGTCTGGTCTATGCGGTCTATCTTCGGTCCGCGCTGGTCTCTGCGCACCGGTCTCTCCAGTCAGGTCACTCCAGTCTATGCGGTCTCTCCTATAGGTCCGCGCTGGTTTCTGTGTGCTGGTCACTCCAGTCTCTCCTCGGGTCTGCATTGGTCTCAGCGCTGGTCCGCGCTGGATCTCCTCCCAGGGTCCAAAACATTTTGAGATTCATCTTTAAAATAATACATAATATATTTTTAAATTAAGCTCATAACATTTTGAGATTAATCTCATCATATTCTTAGATTAATCTCATAATTTTGCTAGTTCGACTTTATTATCATAATATTTCGACTTTTAAGTCAACATTTTATAACTTTATTCTCAGTCTGGTGAAAGAAGAAAAAAGGGTGAATCTTTTGCTCCGTGGCCTGTTGCTTTAGGCCTGTTGCTGTTTCCTCTGCCGTCTGCACACGGCCCTGCAGTCCCTTATATGGGCATTAGTGGGCGGTTACTTATGCTAAGTACCTATGCTAATGAAGCACCTGGCACGCGCGCTGTACTTACGAGGAAATGGGATTCATCAATCTGAGAGAACAGCTGCGAACAATTCAGCGCCTTACGAGTGCGTTGATGAATCCCACGTGGGGACTTCTTAGAAATCTACTTAAGGACAACTTGAGAAGAAAGTTGAGTAGTTTCTTACGAAGTTATTCGTGAATGAGGCCCAATCTTATTTGCCTTTGGTTCGTCACTTTCCGAGTCTTGAAGAAAAGTGTTTTTGATTTTTCTTTTTCCATACTTTTTTACAGGTTTCTTCTTGACAGTTAAATCGTCAGAATCTGAGTCGACTTCATCAATTAGGGACTCTTGACTAAGCTGCACAAACAACAAATAATTTGTAATAATTCTATATAACAATTTGAAGTCATGACTTGTAGTCAGCACTTACCAGTGGTTTGTAAGCGTGCGCTTCAGTGTGCTCCTCCATGATTTCTTGCAGCCTAATGAACCACACACTTGCACCTTTTCTAGCCTGACACCTGATTTCCTCTGTTGTGCTGCTCCATGATTGGCTCCAGCCTGATGGACTGAAATTGCCCCAGTGTGCCCCTCCTTGATATTCCGCAACCCACCACCAGGGTTCCGACACAGAACACACTTTTTTCAGGAAAGTAAACCTCCAGGGGTCCTTTCCATATTTTTACAGAGACTGCATAAGGACCGTTAGAAAAGCATTACCCATTGATTATTAAGCTTGGACCAGTGGGGTCCGGTGTTCGGGCCCCACCACGTAAAACCAGTCCCCATGACGTGAGTGGAATCTCAGGTTATGGAACCCACCAGGAGTTGAAAACAAGTGCACACACACACACACACACACACACACACACACACACACAGATACTTGTCTTTATCACTTTGTGGGACCACCAGACCAGGACATGCATTGTGGGACCCAGCCTTTCTGTAGGGTTGACAGCAGCCAAAAAAATCAGGCATGGCCCCCTGGAGGCCCTAAACAGGAATACCACCTCAAAATCCAAGATTTCCAAAATATTGTCCCACACCAGACTGTTACTATACTTCTGGGGACTTAGCAAGTATTGCTATACTTGTGATGCCCAATCTTACACACTGTCAGGTTTTTAGCTACTTTTAGCCCCACACATACACACTGTCAGGTTTTTAGCTACTTTTAGCCCCACACATACACACTGTCAGGTTTTTAGCTACTTTTAGCCCCACACATACACACTGTCAGGTTTTTAGCTACTTTTATCCCCACACATACACACTGTCAGGTTTTTAGCTACTTTTAGCCCCACACATACACACTGTCAGGTTTTTAGCTACTTTTAGCCCCACACATACACACTGTCAGGTTTTTAGCTACTTTTAGCCCCACACATACACACTGTCAGGTTTTTAGCTACTTTTGGCCCCACACATACACACTGTCAGGTTTTAAGCTACTTTTAGCCCCACACATACACACTGTCAGGTTTTAAGCTACTTTTAGTGCAATACATACCAGGACATCTGTACGACTGTTTGGACTTTCTGTTGTTGATAAAGCGAAAATTTCTGTTACAACCTCATAGACGACTGTTGTGATTTTGGACGTTACAAAATAAATTGAATTGAATTATTTAAATCCTATTTATGGGGTGAGTATACTCAAATCTGTAAAGTAATAGAAAATCAGACAATATATATTTAACAAAATGTAATGTTTATACATTCGAGAAAACAACCCTTTCAGAAGGGTCCATTAGTAGAATAACATCCACAAACTGTTGCCTAGGAAAATAACCCTATTAGAAGAAGGTTCAATTAGTAGAATAACATACACAAACCTATAACTATTACTGTTTACAGTGCCATATACTAATATTGGCATCAGTGAACGTGTTTGAACAAAATCATTTTTAAACCTTTCTTTTGAGGGCTGTTATTCTGTTTTTTACATAAAATTTTACAGCCAACCAATCTCTGGTTTTGAGTGCTTCCTTTTCGTTTTGCAGACACTTATCGCAGTCTTTTTTCCCTGGAACACGACAGGTGGTTATGAATGACATCAGGTGCTTCTCAACAGCGCAGACCTCTTCTTCTTTCCACTTTTCTCTTTTGACTGGTGGGCGGGCTAAAGAAACAAGACGACAGAATTACACACAAACATCCACACATTAACTTCAATATGTAATGTACCGTATTTGTCGCACTAAAACGCCTTTAATTTTCTCAAAAAAACTAGAGTATTATGCCCACCTCTAATTTGAGCGACTAGAGCAGAACAAATGGCGCAATAGACACTTTGACGTGTGCCAAGAGTGAAGCAGCAACTTTTGCGTGAAATCAAGGTGTGTTAACCAATCAATTGAATCTTCTTGTGACATAAGGTGAGGAAATGGAACTGCCAGGTGAAAGTTGTTGCTGTATTTTATATTTTAATATGTACTAAAACTAGGGCAGATCCAGCTGATAGCATTTAGCTCATTAAAATGATGGGGGAAAGCACCACAAGGCTATTTTTTACTCATAAACTACAGTGCCTTGCGAAAGTATTCGCCCCCCTTGAACCTTTTGCCACATTTCAGGCTTCAAACAAAAATATACATTTTTTATTTTTTGTCATGAATCAACAACAAGTGGGACACAATCGTGAAGTGGAACAACATTTATTGGATAATTTAAACCTTTTTAACAAATAAAAAACTGAAAAGTGGGGCGTGCAATATTATTCGGCCCCTTTACTTTCAGTGCAGCAAACTCACTCCAGAAGTTCAGTGAGGATCTTTGAATGATCCAATGTTGTCCTAAATGACTGATGATGATAAATAGAATGCACCTGTGTGTAATCAAGTCTCCGTATAAATGCACCTGCTCTTTGATAGTCTCAGGGTTCTGTTTAAAGCACAGAGAGAACCATGAAGACAAAGGAACACACCAGGCAGGTCCAAGATACTGTTGTGGAGAAGTTTAAAGCCGGATTTGGATACAAAAAGATTTCCCAAGCTTTAAACATCTCAAGGAGCACTGTGCAAGCAATTATGTTGAAATGGAAGGAGTATCAGACCACTGCAAATCTACCAAGACCCGGCCGTCCCTCCAAACTTTCATCTCAAACAAGGAGAAGACTGATCAGAGATGCAGCCAAGAGGCCCATGATCACTCTGGATGAACTGCAGATAACTACAGCTGAGGTGGGAGAGTCTGTCCATAGGACAACAATCAGTCGTGCACTGCACAAATCTGGCCTTTATGGAAGAGTGGCAAGAAGAAAGCCATTTCTCAAAGATATCCATAAAAAGTCTGGTTTAAAGTTTGCCACAAGCCACCTGGGAGACACACCAAACATGTGGAAGAAGGTGCTCTGGTCAGATGAAACGAAAATTGAACTTTTTGGCCACAATGCAAAACGATATGTTTGGCGTAAAAGCAACACAGCTCATCACCCTGAACACACCATCCCCACTGTCAAACATGGTGGTGGCAGCATCATGCTTTGGGCCTGCTTTTCTTCAGCAGGGACAGGGAAGATGGCTAAAATTGATGGGAAGATGGATGGAGCCAAATACAGGACCATTCTGGAAGAAAACCTGTTGGAGTCTGCAAAAGACCTGAGACTGGGACGGAGATTTATCTTCCAACAGGACAATGATCCAAAACATAAAGCCAAATCTACAATGGAATGGTTCACAAATAGACGTATCCAGGTGTTAGAATGGCCAAGTCAAAGTCCAGACCTGAATCCAATCGAGAATCTGTGGAAAGAGCTGAAGACTGCTGTTCACAAACGCTCTCCATCCAACCTCACTGAGCTCGAGCTGTTTTTCAAGGAAGAATGGGCAAGAATTCCAGTCTCTCGATGTGCAAAACTGATAGAGACATACCCCAAGCGACTTGCAGCTGTAATTGCAGCAAAAGGTGGCGCTACAAAGTATTAGCGCAAGGGGACCGAATAATATTGCACGCCCCACTTTTCAGTTTTTTATTTGTTAAAAAAGTTTAAATTATCCAATAAATTTCGTTCCACTTCACGATTGTGTCCCACATGTTGTTGATTCTTGACAAAAAATTGAATTCTTATATCTTTGAAGCCTGAAATGTGGCGAAATGTTGAAAGGTTCAAGGGGGCCGAATATCTTCCCAAGGCACTGTATATGACGTGACCTTTTCAAAAAGAAGTAGTGTAATTAGCAATATTTTATCAAACATCTACTAATTGAAGACAGAAGCAGAGCAGAGCAGAGCAGCAGAGAGCATAAGAACTAGCAAGAGATAGCAGCTCCAATGACTGGGACAAAAGCCTGGATATGCTGAAACCAGAGACTGATTATTTGGTGGCGTAGTTCTGCTTTACTCACTAAATAATGATCGCAAAAGTCTGCTATGGTGACAGGAAACAGCAAACACAGCTCCTCCTAGTGATTACACGTAGAAGCCAAATATGGACAAAATTAACTGGAGCCATTTTTAAGGCGATGGAAGTGTGAACTTCCAAAATCATTTTTTTGTTGCTTTTTTGCTACTTTACCAGTGGAGCTAATCTCACTGGTAAAGTACCATGTGGCGCAGAACATAAAAAGGGTCTCGTTATGATTCTCAAATCATTAACGACAAAACAAGGAATAAAACCAGGATTTCTATCTTTGTGAAAAAGGTGTTGGTTATAGATTTGTTGTTGACAAAACTCTTGTATATTCAGCTGTTATGGTCCCAGCTCGATTCGTCTGCATATCTGGCAACCTGAGTCAGGGAGAGTGCATTACCACTTTTGGACAGATTTTTACATATCGCTCCTTTAAGCGTGAAGAGGATTAATAGGCCAAAACGGAACAGTAAGTATGTTCTGCTAAAATCACACCAGCAAGCCAACCATTTCATTCTTTTTCAGGATGTCTCGGGGATAGAGCTGCAACTAACGATTATTTTGTAATTGATTAATCTATCGATTATTTTTACGATTAATCGAGTAATCGCTTGGCTGTGAATTGTGTAGAAAAAAATATTTTTTCATCACAAAAAGCTAAAGTGGCAACACTCGAGGACGTATTGATGGCGTAAACTTAAAGTAAATGTTTGTAACAGGCTCTTTGTCTCATCCAATCAGAGCAGAATTAGCACAGACAGATATTCATGAAATTATAAAAACAAAGTCGGTTTTAATCAAAAATACTACATTTTCATGTCATTTTTGCTCCGTTTGAGTCCGTGTGAACCAGAAAACGATTAATCGATTACTAAAATAGTTGTCGACTATTTCAATAATCGATTAGTCGTCGATTAATCGATTAGTTGTTTCAGCCCTACTCTGGGATAAGAGACTTTAACTACAGTACAGTACATGTGAAGACTGAAAATCCATTGCCTACATTGGACAACTCTGGCACGACTGAGAACCTACACAGATTAAACATGTATCTTTTCACAGAGGAAATTGATTAATTGTATTACTTTTAGATTCTGTTTGTTTCAATGGCTGACTTTGAGCTTCTGGTTGACTTTGAGCTTCTGGTGTGTTGCATCAGGCTTCATTGTTCCAATCTCAAAGTTCTCATTGGGTTCTGCAGTCTCCTCTTCAGTCTGACTTAAGATTACACTTTCTGGAAGACACAAAAAAAAAAAATTCAGGATAAAAACATTGCATCATTCGTTTTTTTTGTCAGCCCTTATCTCAGACACTGTTATGTCCTGTAAACTAAATAAAAAATTGGGAAGAAAAACAACACTTTTGACAATAGATTGAGATACATTAAGACCTATTACTTATAATTTGTGCGTGGCTAACTTAAAACTGCACTAACTGACTTTGGGATTTTGAAGCCGCGGACTCGCTGGCCTCTCTCTTTCTGCTCCCCTCCCCGCACCCACGAAGCTATGGCCCCCCACACACACCCAATGTTGTTGACGGAGCTAGCCTCTCCCAATATGGATAATACATGGATATGGATTTACATGTGGATGGCGTGACCATAGAACGATAGAACCGGGAAGCACGGAGGAACAGGACTTTCTTTTGGATGACTCTTTTCGCTGTGTAAGCAGTAACCGGTGACGAAGACACACGAAGCTTCAGGTTAGCTCCGCTGCTTGTTGTGCCAACTCAGCCGTCTATGCTAACGGAGACCTGTAGATTTCTCGCAAAAGTGGGGGCTAGTGGTGCGCTGTGATTGGTCACAATCTGCGACCCGAAACACATTCTCTTCCTTGTTTCATCAAAACTCGATCTAAAATATAATGTCACGCCAGCACTTTTTCTTCAAAAGGACGTATATTCCAATGCACTACATGGACAGCATTTTACTAATGAATACAAAAATAAAGTCAGTTAGTGCAGCTTTAACTCATTCACATTTCAGTCATCAAACTGAAAAATATGATGTCACAATGCTAGTTCTTCAGGTTTTAGCTAACATGAGACTCCAGGATCCTCGGAGCCTTCCCCCTCCCTCCTCGTCCAGCAGCAGCAGCAGCAGCAGCGCGCTCCTCCCCCCGTCGTAATGTGGTAAGTTGCTTTTCACTTCAACATGTTGCATTTACGAGTTTATTTCTCCCCTTTGTCTAATGTACTATCAGCCCCTCCAGGATTTTGCGCGCAATTGTTGATTGATGAATGACTATTGCGGGGTAAAATGCTTGATTACGCGGGACATTTTTCCAAAAGTTTCCCTGTTGAGTTTGGAGGCGTGTGAATCTGGCTTGCAGCATTAGCTGCCAGGGAGCTATGGATGATGTTACCGTGTGGTTTATAGAAGGGACAGGGGGAGGTGATCCATGGCAGACCGGTGAGCAGGTCCCATGATGAGCAACAAGTGTTAGATTTACCGCACCATGTGCATTCTGCTGTGGTGCGTCTCACTGTGGAGGGTGCGTTAGGAGGAGCGCGCCCCGCTGCTGCTTTGGAACAGGGAGAGAGAGACTGACTGTTGCTCTGATCCCAGAGTCTGTGTGATTTTGCGTTCACACATTGAGAGATTCTGGAGGGAGTGACTATAGCAATCACTGGCTTATACTATAGTAAAAATAAACATAAAGTAGTGTTATTAGCGAGTATTGAAGGTTTTTTTTATCTCAATGTCATAACTGCTGAAGCCAAAACACTTGTTATAATGTGAAAATGTATGGTGATTTTATATTTTCCTTTGTGTAGTAGATTTTGGGGTCCTGGGGTCAACAATGCTGCAGCAGAGTTTGATTTGGATCAGCAGCTGACTTCTGCAGCTCTTCATAACTGATGAACTTCTGGATCCTGGATCTTATTGTCGAACAGACAAAGCTGCATGCAACACAATATTTCAGTGCACACACACAGCGTCTCCCATTCAGCAGAGAAAATGCATGAAGCCAGTGAGTCTAGCAGCTAAAAACCTTTTTTGGTTTGACATTTCTCACTGGGTTTGTAAAAAAAACGAATCTGGAAATGTATTGGGGAGTGCGGAGGAAGTAGATTCCACCAGGTCACCTAATTACTATTCTTTATAAACTAAAGTAAAATTGTTTCACAAAGTGTTCAGAAAGTGTTATTTTTACTGTATATTTGTATAAAAAGTGTTTTTATTGTATACAAGTTGAATATTGTATGTGTACATAAGACAATCCTTTGAGTGTATTGTGTGTACACTTTTAATTTGTTTAAAAATAATTATACATTAAAAATATAACAAAGTATTGTTTCTGTTTTGTGTCATAAGAAGAAACTGTCATTCATTGTAAAATATCAGTAAAGACAAAAAAAAAAAAAACTTTTCTGCTTGAAAATGCATGTTTCACAAAAAAGGCTGTTTTCTCCAAATATTGGTCAGGAAACAGCATTTTGTGTGAAAGTTACCTATGTTGCACTCTCAATTGCTAAATTTTTTTAAATGAAAGCCAAGGGATAGAGCTTTCATTTGATATGTTTCATACTTGTGTCAACCAAGGGCTCACATTTCTATGCGGTTCAGAAAAACACTAAAAATGTCAAATCTCTGGCAGTATGAGGGAAGCTGCTTTTTAAATGGCTGGCATTGAAAAATTAAGCAGGCCTTGACATTAAGCTTTGGGCTAGAGTGGCTGGCTACATTTTACTTTCCCAAAGTCAAAAGTTGCTTGTCCAAATATGTATCAATACAATTAGTTGACAAAAGTTTGGCAATAAAGTGGCACTAAATATTTGGAATAAATATATAAAAAAATCCACTCTCAGCTCAAAACGTTAAATAATGACTCACAGGGCTATTACATTTGCAAAATAAAAAAAGAAGACGCCTGTTGGGGTGTGTTATGTTTGATTTGTCCATAACATTTTACTTTTGTACTTTATGAGGGCGACAGTAGCTCAGGTGGTAGAGCAACAGCTCAAATCCATCGCGAGACCTACTTCATGACTCGATGTCTGCTGCTGTTGTGTCCTTGGGCAAGACACTTAACCCCACTTTGCCCAAAGCCCCCACTGAAAGATCTCAGCTCCTGTGGACTCACCACCTGCAGGAGGATCAGTGAGAGGCTGGTGCTCTGTGAACTGGGTGCAGCTCTGACTGCCACTCCCCCGACCCAGAAATGGATTAAGAGGAAGAAAATGGACGTATGGATGGATCTTACTTTTGTGCCCAACCAACCTGCATTGTTAATGCAAGCGAAAACTAAGGTACCCAAGCTTTAATGTTGTGAGTTTTGGTTGCGCTTCGGGAGGACATACGGGGAGACCCGCACTTGCAACAAACTGGGGATGGTTCTCTCCGCGTGTCTATGGTCCGCGCTCGTTACCACATTACGGCTGTGATTTCGCTGAGCTTTATAACGACAGCCGCTTTGACAACGCGGTTGTGGTTATAATGCAGCTGCAGTTGCTCCCAGGGTCAGAATGGAGGGTGTGAATGCCGTTTGAGAAAGTAATGCAAACAGCAGCAAGTGCATGCGGTCACACAGTGGGAAAAAAGTTGGAAATTGCGGATCTGCAAACAAATTTAATCTCTGGTTTCTCCCTGATGCATTTCATTGGTCTAGAGAATGTTCCAATGAAGAGAATTGTACAACTTGATAAGACAGCGCACTTGCCTGTCCCAAATCTTTACTGGCCCCGGGCAAGTGGACAACCGTTAATGTCGAGCCCTGTTAAGACTAGTTGAAAACTGTCATTGCAACTAAAGACATGTTCTAGTAGTAGACAACAAATATAGACAGATAAAAAAATCTAAATACCTTGTGACACAGAGTCATCTAAAGCTTCAGTGTCGCTTTCGTCCTCACCGCTGTCTGCCTCGACGGTGTCTACATAAGTAAAACAACATAATATTGGAATACAGAATAGATTTTACTACAACACGATAGTGTAACTATTGCAGGTGGATACCTTCAGGCTCAATATTGATGTCATCAAGGCTTTTGCCTTTGAATTCAGCAACACGTCCCTGCTCCAGAGCCAAAAGCACCTTGCTAATTTTAGCAAGCTGAAGGGTACCTTCTGGAAGCCTGTAAAATTGCCGATGCACTCTCACATCATGGCCGAGGAAATCGGCTAACTGATCAAGCTCAGTGTTTGTGAGATTTAGGACTTGTGATAACGTGGCCGTTTGCTTCCTTAGTTTTGTTGAGGTCAGACTGTGTGGGTTTTCCGCTCCGCAGACCCTGGCAAACTCTCTTAGGCAGTCTGAACCACGGTAACAAGTCATAGCATTTGGTCTTGCAAACAGGTAGCCATTTTTCACTGGGACCTCACAAATCTCCCGTTTGGTGTTGAGCAGATCCAATGACTCCTGCATTGAGGGCGTCAAAAGGATGGAGACCTTTCTCCCTCTTTTTCCTGTAATTTCGATTCTTCGAAAGTGCTGGCAAAGCTTTTTTTCCAGATCTGAAAGTGCGTCACCCAGGTCTTCAAGAGAATCTCTATTATTTGGGGACAAATAGGCCGACAGAGGCATCTTTGATACTTCGCCTGATCTTCGCCTATTGAAGAGTACAATTTGTGTCAAAGTAACTTTTGCCAGTCGTGTCCAAGTCTGGGCTGATGCCTCAGAAGATAACAAGGAGTGAATTTTCTGCTTTTCAATGTCTAAATAAGAATGAAATGTTTGAACGTCTCTTGTAAATGGAAGCAATAAAGGGGCATTCCACTTAGCCTCTTGGAGTGTTCTTAAAGATGCTGCGGATACCATTTCATGCCATCTCGCTTCATATATTTGGCGGAATGTGCGGGCACTTTTTGCTGCAACATAGTTGTTATGAACATTCGAACGACTCTCGACTAACATTGATATTTTAGTCAAGCTGTGTCCTAGTTTGAGTGCCAAACTTGGGCTCTTGAATGTGTTGGTTGTTTTTTCATGACCAGCTACAATCTTCACAGACTCCACAACATGCATGAAATTGGCAGGCAGAACATGGTCTTCAATTGTTTTGATTTTAGTATTTTTCTTGGAGCATAAGAGAAGCCTTCCCAACTCCCTCATTTTTTGGCGAATGTATTCATGTTTCCCCTTGTCATGGCCTAAACGGTGAAATAGATGTTCACCAAACTCCAGGATACATTTGTCTTCTTTCAATGCGGAAAAAACTTCATCTTGTATCATGTTGGTCAACAGTTTCCAGAAGTCCTCTTTGATACCAGCTGGCGGAGGGACAGCAAATGCACAAAGGGCCTGAACACGGGTTTTACCCCGATTTGGTTTCCCACTGGGCTTGAACTTACATTGCAATACATGTTTCCAGAGCCTTTTTCTTCTGAAGAGGCCCTGACAATGGATACAGTGCAGGTAATCCTGAGCCTGTGTATTTCCTTGGGGTTGCATGCGAGGAATAAGCTGTCCCGCACCCGTTTTCAACACATCAACATTATGGGAAAAGTTCCCCCTGTTTCGCAAAAGTTCTAGATGCATCCTCCTCTCTTTGGATCCTTTATTAAAAGACAGAGCCCGAGCAACCTCACGTTCATTTTTATGAGCACGCTCCATGTGCCTGGATATTTTGAGCACAGCCGTCTTGCAGAATAAGCAGTATTGTTTCTTATTGAACATGCGTGAACCATCCTCTTTTTTGCAAACTGCTAGCACGGACAGCGAATCATGGCATGCATCGACTACAGGGACAGAACTGTTTGGAAGTTTTGGCTGGTCCTCTTTTTCTTGTTGATATTTTGCAGATTGTGTCTTACTATGTTGTGGTGGACTTGATTTTCTTTTCTTGGGTTGTTTTTTAGTTGTATTTGATTTTCTTGTGGGAGACCTTCCTCTTGCCGAATTTAGGTTTCCGCCTATAACTTCTGTAGAACTGCTCAAAGGCAAGATTTTTGAATGCAAGGCTGGGCATGTGGTCATTTCTGTATCATCCACTGAAAGAATCTCACTCTCTATTGAATCACAAGAATCACTGCTGTTATCAGTCTCTGGGATATATTCTTCACTTTCGTCTGAAGTAAAGCCACACAATTCTTCTGAATCATACTCAGTTTGGCTCCCCCACTATTGAAAGAAACAAAATATTAGACATATTGTAATTTTCTCAGGCCAACCATGTTTTTTAAACCTGAATGCTTTTGGTCCTTCGTAGCATTGGAGGCATCACATGTTCCTGCTGGGTTCGAGAAGCTGTAAACTCACTACCCTGTATGAGCAAAAAACATAATTCAGTTATTTTAAATTATTACAAATTATTATTATTACAAATATTCATAAATTAAGCATTTACATAATGTTAGTGATGTGTGTAATGGACCTCTCCAGTGTAGTGAAACCAGAATCTACTTTTATACTACAGCTGAGATGTGTGTAATGGACCTCTCCAGTGTAGTGCAACCAGAATCTACTTTTATACTACAGCTGGGATGTGTGTAAAGGACCTCTCCAGTGTAGTGAAACCAGAATCTACTTTTATACTACAGCTGAGATGTGTGTAAAGGACCTCTCCAGTGTAGTGAAACCAGAATCTACTTTTATACTACAGCTGAGATGTGTGTAATGGACCTCTCCAGTGTAGTGAAACCAGAATCTACTTTTATACTACAGCTGAGATGTGTGTAATGGACCTCTCCAGTGTAGTGAAACCAGATTGTAGTTTAAACTAATTTTGATATCAATGATTACAGTTCAGACGTAGTGTTGAATTCAAACATGAAGACAGTCATGATGTGTGAATTCTGGACATCTTCAGCACACTAAACAGACAACATTAATGTGACTCAAGCACTCTACATGTCAACTTGTTCACTTGTCTTTACCTGGCTCGCAATAGGAGAGTCGTGGCAATCAGCTTCAGACCTGCCCAATTCAGGTAAGCTGAGGTCAGGCTGGGCTTTGTCTGCATCCTAAAGACGGGTCCAACATAAAATGTATATTAACACAATATCATTGTACTGAATACTAGGGGTGCAACGGTTTGAAAAAAAATCACGGTACGGTTCGTACCTCGGTTTGGTTCATTTTTCAAAAAAAAGTTTTGTCTTTTTAATAAACACAGCTCATGTGGACTTGGCACCTGCTCTGACTGTCCCCCCCTGACCTAGAAATGGATAAGGGGAAGGAAATGGATGGATGGATGGATGGATGGAAGGCATATTCCATCCATCCAATTATGTCTATTTAACATAATTAATGAAAAACAACACAAAGTGCAACAAAAGAAGGCACTTTATGAGGTCATTTACCCTCATATATTAAACCACCTTCCTGATTCTCCCAAGGAAGCGGTCCATTCTGGGCCCAGTCCAGCCTCATTCACTGCATTTATTTAATTTTTGGCATTATCAATTGTGACTGGGATATTGGTACTGGGCCTTTGTCTTCCATTCCTCCGCTGCTGTGTCAGTACCTGCACTGTGTGACTGTGTGACTGTGTGACTGTCGTAGAGGGGGCGTGTCTGCAGTGCCAGACTCTTCATCTCCCAGTCTGCGGTGATGAAGTGAGCGGTTCCGCTCATGGATCTATTATAGGTTCCGCGGGACGTCCAAGGTCTGACTGTGCGTAAAGGGGCTGCTTAAATGCCGCGACAATAAGCGGTCGTTGAGACGCTTTTTTTCACTCATGTCTTTCTTGTGCCACAGTATTTACACATGGTGACAGTTTTATCGAATATTAATTATCAGTGTAGTTACAGTGAAGCCAAAATGCTCTCATACTGGGGATTTAAATGACGCGGGGCTTTCAAGCATCTCCGTTCCTCCGCTCGCAATGGCCGCGCTGTGTGTGGACTGAACAACGTGCGCACAACTTTTTTTTCATAAATCAAACCGCGGATCACGTCTGTACGGAACCGAAGACATTGAACCGAACGGATCACGGATCAGTGATGAACCGTTGCACCTCTACTGAATACGATCAATGCACACATCTTTCTCAGTGTTTTATCAATAAAAGGCTAAGTGCAGCAAAATCCGACGACCTCTGCGTAATGTCATTACAGACAACCATGTTTAAAGATAAGGTATGATAAAGTTCATACCAAAAACATATTTAATATGGACACAAATAGATGTCACAACGTCAATTTGGCCACCTGAATGTAGTTTATAATAATAGAGCTCGGACTGTGTGCAGAGAAGAACACTAGACTGGATATGTGTGTAAAGGACCTCTCCAGTGTAGTGAAACCAGATTCTACTTTTATACTACAGCTGAGATGTGTGTAATGGACCTCTCCAGTGTAGTGAAACCAGAATCTACTTTTATACTACAGCTGAGATGTGTGTAATGGACCTCTCCAGTGTAGTGAAACCAGATTGTAGTTTAAACTAATTTTGATATCAATGATTACAGTTCAGACGTAGTGTTGAATTCAAACATGAAGACAGTCATGATGTGTGAATTCTGGACATCTTCAGCACACTAAACAGACAACATTAATGTGACTCAAGCACTCTACATGTCAACTTGTTCACTTGTCTTTACCTGGCTCGCAATAGGAGAGTCGTGGCAATCAGCTTCAGACCTGCCCAATTCAGGTAAGCTGAGGTCAGGCTGGGCTTTGTCTGCATCCTAAAGAGGGTCCAACATAAAATGTATATTAACACAATATCATTGTACTGAATACAATCAATGCACTCATCTTTCTCAGTGTTTTATCAATAAAAGGCTAAGTGCAGCAAAATCCGACGACCTCTGCGTAATGTCATTACAGACAACCATGTTTAAAGATAAGGTATGATAAAGTTCATACCAAAAACATATTTAATACGGACACAAATAGATGTCACAACGTCAATTTGGCCACCTGAATGTAGTTTATAATAATAGAGCTTGGACTGTGTGCAGAGAAGAACACTAGACTGGATATGTGTGTAAAGGACCTCTCCAGTGTAGTGAAACCAGAATCTACTTTTATACTACAGCTGAGATGTGTGTAAAGGACCTCTCCAGTGTAGTGAAACCAGAATCTACTTTTATACTACAGCTGAGATGTGTGTAATGGACCTCTCCAGTGTAGTGAAACCAGAATCTACTTTTATACTACAGCTGAGATGTGTGTAATGGACCTCTCCAGTGTAGTGAAACCAGAATCTACTTTTATACTACAGCTGAGATGTGTGTAATGGACCTCTCCAGTGTAGTGAAACCAGGATTGTAGTTTAAACTAATTTTGATATCAATGATTACAGTTCAGACGTAGTGTTGAATTCAAACATGAAGACAGTCATGATGTGTGAATTCTGGACATCTTCAGCACACTAAACAGACAACATTAATGTGACTCAAGCACTCTACATGTCAACTTGTTCACTTGTCTTTACCTGGCTCGCAATAGGAGAGTCGTGGCAATCAGCTTCAGACCTGCCCAATTCAGGTAAGCTGAGGCAGAGGAGGAGAAGAGGGCAGAGGCGTGGTCCTGCTCTAGTCAATAAAATGCACCATGACGACAACATATGTACAGGAAATGACCACTGTCCACCAAACTATTGACATCAATTACACCTTGCTTTACATTTCTAATCCCTTTGTAAGAGATGATGAACGTCAGTAATCAATTTATAAAACACATGTTCACCTATAGCTCACTACGCTATAAAACACCAAAAAGAGACAGACGAGGATTTTAACGATAAGCTTGAGTTCAAACAGACAGAATTTACAAAAAATCAGTACTGTGCCATAACATAAGGCAGGCTTAAAACTACACCCTTGTAACCATTGTGTGATAGAGCTAAGGTTGTGTGTCTGTTTTATTTTGTTTATTTGTTTATCTTTTTATCACACAGTTGCACCCACAAACACACAGTTGTATTTAGTGATAGGGGAAACTGGAGCACTTTGAGTAAACCTACACGCACAGACAGGGAGAACATGCAAACTCTACACAGAAAGGCCCTGACTGGAGGTGGTATTGAACCCAGGACCTTCTTGCTGAGGAGAACCACTATCACCTGCCCGATATGAAAACATTCTTGTTTGTGAGTACAATAGTAAAAAACCAGCCTGAGACTTTGGCCCAGTACCACTGTCTGTGCAGCGGCCCTACATCAGTGTGTGTCTCAGGACACCGAGCACATGGCACTCTTGGAGCTGGAGTCACACGAGCTGCTGCGAGAGTGCGTCAGCGACTCCCGGCCGTCCAGAATGGGGGAGTCCATCTCCAGGTGGGGGTCCTCCAGCACGTCCTCCAGTGCGTCCTTAAAATGGGACTGAGGAGAAGCACTCACATTACCACAGTGGAAGTAGCATTAACGCAGCATCATGAAGCAGAAGGTCGAACCATTGTTAGTATGGAACTCAAAGAAGATAATACCCTGAAACATACAGGTATATTTCAGTGGCTATAGCTTTACTAAAGTCACAAAGTAGGAATTTGCTGATGGTATTATAAGGTATTTCGATAAAAAGATTACTTTAATTCAAGCTGAGTTTGGGTATTATTTTCTGGTACATTTTTTCTGACCAAAGCTTGTTCATTTACTGTTTGTTTGGACTGAACCAAAACTAGGTCAAAGGATTGGCCAATGATTTAGATGGATCATTTGGTGGATCACTTTTTGGTTTCATATACTTGAAGCTTGGAATAGAAATCTACCTCATTGAAGCATCTCTATCACTTGGTTTTAGGCACTTTTACCATCAAACTGCTTCTCAACCATTTGGTAAAGACCTATCATTAAAAACTAGGGGTTCAAACAAGTATTTTTGTTGAGAGTGCTACATCTTAGGGAAAGAAATACATTTCTTTCTTCAAGGAGTGAACTATGACAGATTAAATCAACAATGTATTAATACATTTTGGGTTCAGTTTATAGAGTGCATTTATGATATGTATCTTGTGAGAATTATCTTTAAACCACGTTCTGGTTGTATTCACATAAACCATACCTATCTGATATTATTAATGGGGCTTAATTCTTCTAGTTAAAGGTCCCCTCACAAACATTTGTCTTCAAAGAGATGTGTTGCTTGACCAGTGACCGGATTCTTCCAGTGTTTTTATTGCTCAAAAATAGCAGTGAAAACATGCTGTGAGTCTGCTCCTCACATATATGACCTTTAACTCGACCCTGTCCTGTGGCGCACATATTTGTCTGTCTCCATGACGATAGGTAAGAGCAATGCCACACAAAGGAACTATTCAGGCAAAGCAATACCATCACAAATGTCTTACAAGTGAAATTGGGAAATATGATTCTCGTTAAAAAGTTAATCTACTTATCTGGTAGAAACCTTGTAAAAAAAATCACTCTGTGTCACATTGATTTTTGCCTGTACACAACGTCACAAAGTGTTACTGCTAACTTTAAACAAAAAATCAACTATGTTAAGAATTTAATATCTGGTGAAACATATATGAAGGGTAAATAATGATATTGGCCTGCTAGCACCAGAAGGAGGTGTTAAATTAAAAACGACTGGTTGCAAACACAGCTATGCGATTGTGTTGAACTTAATTTCACCTGATAAAAGTTATCTGGAATATTTTCATTTTAAAAAGCAAAAACCTGTGGAACAGATGACCACATACTCTTACAGGACTGAGACAGAAGAGAGTTACATGTTTGTTCCTGGTATTAGCGTGGATGGATGTGAAGATAACTCCGGGTCTGTGATTGATGAAGGACCAATTTAGTCACTTGGAGATAAGCCAAAGCAAAGGACATTTATCAGCATTTGTGGACGTTGGTCATGCCCCTTATGAACCAATACCAATGTGTTTTCTATCATTGCATTTCTTTAGCTTGAACTGTTTGATTTTCTGATCTGTGTTAGCAAATTCAACAATTGTGTAAACTGCTCAATCCGAGATAACTACCGTTGTGATTTAGGGCTATACAAAAGTAAACTGAATTGAATTGAATTGATTTACCCAATATGTCTCTTTTATCACTCTCACCTTATGAACAGACATTTCTTCGACATGGCACTCCCCAATGGACTCCTCCAGAGAATTACCCGATATCTCCATCTTGATGCGGTGTGAGCGAATAGACTTCACATCGTCCTCGTCCTCGCCGGCGACCAGAGGGAAAACCTGCGGGCACAGGCAGAGCGAATGAGGAGCGCTTCAATCAGACTCTACACAGAGGGTAATAAAGAGCAGATAGAGGTGTTCGCTGAGGCGTGGCTGATGCCTACCAGCCCCTCCTCGTCCCGCGTGGCCTCGGGGTCAGAGATGGTGGCTTTGCTGATGGCTTTACTGATGGTCTGCGTCTCAAACTGGGGACACGCAGCCTGTGCGTTGCCGTCCTTGTCTCGCTTCCCCTTCAGCCAGTATGTCTCGATCTCCACGTTGCCCTGAATTACAAAAGGAACAGTTTTGTAGATGGATAAAGGTGAACCTGGCGAACCCCGGCTATCTTTTTCACTTCTATAGTAAATATCTAGAGTAAATATTTAATACAAGTTTTGCATCAGTGAAGTTACAATTTTTAAGTAAGTAGTACTTAGTCATGTTTATTTATATAGCACATTTTACAGACCAAGGTCACCCAAAGCACTTTACGGTGCTCAGATGTTGAGACGCTGAACACACTGGCCCCAAAGCCCCAATCAACACCATCCATTCACTCACTCATTTTCATTCATACCTATTGAGAATGTTTTTTGTGGTAGGGAAAACCGGAGCACCCGGAGAAAACCTACGCAGACACGGGGAGAAAATGCAAACTCCACTCATAAAGGCCCTGTTGCGACCGGGATTCGATTTGAGTAAAATAAGGAAAGAAAATATAAATATAAATGAAGTGCTGAGTTTTAACATGTCATATTAAAAAAACAATTTAAAGACAATAAATGCGGCCATTGAACGACTACTTTGACAAGATAAACGTGTCTCCTCATAACTTTTGTGTAAACGAGGCAAGCTTGTCTCATTTTACATTGTGGTAGATGAAGCATTAGAAACATTTGAAATTTAGGGAAAACTCACACAATTGATTGAAATCCTAGTATGTCGTATAAACTTCAAAGCATTATGCAACAGGATAAGTTTTTTTGCAGGATTTTTGGTGCATAGTCCGAAACCCTTGCTGTGATGGAAAGTAGAGGTGCCATGCTGACCACTCATACAGCCACTGGGTCACTACAAGATGCAAATATATTTAAACAAAATGCACATAAAAAGTTGCATATTGCCCCTTTAATATAACATCTTGTGTGTACTGCCTCTAAATGCTGTTTCAGATTGCATGTGGAGCTACTGGTCATTTATGTACAGAAGCGACCTCAATCACAGTGCTAATGATTTTTCTTTAGGATCATGGAATAACAACCAAAACAGCAGTAGGTATAAATGACAATTACAGTTCTACTGTGGCGCAAACCCATTCTATTCCAGAAACAAGCCTCTCTAAAGTGTCACACAGTTGTTCGAGTGCCAACAAATCCACTGAAGTTGATTCAATCTATTAAGATAAGATAAAACTTTAAGCACTTTATTGATCTCACAATGGAGAAATGTACATGTCACATTTGGCAAAAAACAGAAAGTGTGCAAACATGTTAAAAGGTTAAAATATTGTCTCTTTTGTGCAAGATAGATAAAAATGGAAAGGGTCCTCCTCGCTGTTTCAGAATATTCTAAACCCAACATGATTCCGGTGCTAATGAGGTCAACCCACTATTTCTAGATATGGTAATTATTCAAAAATGTTTATGCTGTAAGTAACTGACATCTTTCCCTCGCATTGACAAATAACATGACATGATTGCAATATCTCATTACCATATTGACATGTTTCTGCTTTATACCCATAATAACAAATAAAATGTCAGTTGTTGAGATTAGCACCTGCCTCGGAGAAAAAAAACTCAGAAATTCCCTTCCAGCGTTTAAAATGTATGCATGAAATCAGCTGAACGACTGATAAAACACAAGCGGATCACTGTCACAGGCCCTGAATATTAAGTGAGCCAGCTCCTGGAATGATCTCTATTTTGGGATTTTACTTTAATTTCTTGTGAACTTTTCAGCTAAAACTGGTGTCACCACTCAAAGATGGAAAAGAAATTGGCAATTAGTTGTTGTTGATTAAAGCGTAATTGCTTCAGGGGCACTTGTGAAAACCTGACCTTGATGGTAATGATTCCTCTCCGCTCGAAAATGAAGTGGCTTCCTTTGAGGTGCTCATAAGTTGCGCTGCTCAACTGGATGTGCATCTCCTGTGAAAGAAAAGAAGACGGCTGCGACTCTGAACAAAATCTTAATAAAACTTATTATAATTAAAGAAGATCAAGACTATTTACTGTTTTGTCGTTTCATGATTTAGAATGTGAATCAATATCTTAAGTAGAAAATGCTTTAAAAAAATCTTTCCACCTGTAACTCCGGGAACATTATTTCACTTCAGAATTTATTGATACAAGATACAAGATTTTATTTGTAATTTGCAGTAAAACCACATTGGAAAAACTGTGCAAGACTACCCCCGTGTGCAGACAGAACACCAGAGCTCTTGGCAATACTTTTGTGTAAAAAGTATGATGTCATAGTGATACAATGACATCATACTATTACATTATGATGTATTTGAGTTTATTTATGTGTACAGATGGTTGTTTTTTACTCTCTTCTTTGTGGTGTTGTCCAGAAGCTGTGTGGGCACTAGAGTAGTGTTTTTCAACCAGTGTGCTGTGGCAAAATCATGTGAAAAGGAAATAATGTGACATGATTAGAAAGATATTTTTGTGCTTGTTTCATTTGCTGTATAATACACAACAATGAGAATGGCTTTGCTTTGTTAATAAAGTGTTAATAAAGGCTGTAGAGTTTCAATTTTGTTAGAAATTAAGTTTTTGGTGTGCCATGTTGTTTTTTGCTAAGAAAGCTACTAGCGACTATTAAAGTGATTGGAGGTTTGTGTGATTTGTCATCTGTGTGATTCAAATGGTGGTTGAATGCATTCCTACCTTGCCGTTGCTCTCCATGGCAGATGCAGTGTGGACAGTGTCGCCATGGAGACCATACCGTGGCATCTTATGGCCCACCACACCTGCCACCACCATTCCAGAGTGGATTCCTGCACACGGAACACCCACAATTTTAACTTTGGGACAACTCTGCCTGGAATACGCGCCTCTTTGCAGGACACCCACCGACTCGGATCTGAATGTTGTTTCCGTTGGAGGGGTCTTTGAGGTGGTCGATGGAGCGGACCATGTCTAGAGCCATGTCACAGATGTTGTGGGCGTGATATTTAGTCTTTTCTGGAGCTCCAGCCACAACCATGTAGGCGTCTCCGATGGTCTCCACCTGCAAACATCACACAGAAGTCTAAATTGTATTTATCGGTTTCAACTGTTCTCCGTCACCGGTGCAATAGATAGAACGATTCCACTCAGAATATTGTATGTTCTGAACAACAAAATACCCTCACAAACTGCACCGATAAGGACAGACTTTTCTGCCTGAAACCAAAAAACACCATAAAGTACTTACAGTAATTCTTATAGTTAAAAATCAAGCAAAACGTTGGTTTAAACAAATAAATGTATTACATATTTTTTCATCGAAAAGAAACATGTCCAATGAATGTCCTTCACTATACTACTCACAGAAACAGTATATGTGGCTTGTACTCTTACACTACAATAACCACAAAACCATTTGTACTGTAAAAAGTATATAGTGAGAGGTTGATATGGGCTCCCATGACATGTCATACACAACTTTAACGCTATTTCTCTCAAGAAAACAATTGTATCATGTATTTAATTATATACATTGAATACCCCTAATGAATAATAACAGTTGGATTATATGGAATAACAAGCCTTCTTTACTTTTGGTCCTGTTTTGGCTCAATCCAAGCATGTCACCCATTAGCTGCAGAACAATCTAAAAGTTTATCTCTCCAGTGATTATTCAATTTAATATACCAAATTTGGTCATATTATAAAAGTAACAGCTTTAAAAAAAAAAAAAAAAGGTTGGTACCCTAAATCAGCTGTTATGTTTTGTTTCTTTAACTTGGCCCCTGACCAAAATGTATTTGATACCCCTGTGGTACGTGAAATATTCTTTGTTTTTGATTAGCACAGGCGTCTGTCCTGCTGGGGCTGGTGTTAAGTGACGGCCAAAATAACTGGATTTCACGAATGGGAACATACAGTAGACAATGACCGTCATGGAGATTTAACGTATAATATTGTTGAATAGTGGAACGCTCTGGATCTCCAACTAAAACAATGCCAAGACATTCACAGATTTAAGTCACTGACTATAGAGAGAATATATTGAATATATTTCCATGTTGCCATTAATTGTTACTTTAAAACCTGAACACTTGATTCACATGTGCCATTCGCTTTGTTTTTGTACTGGAGCAAATAGGAAGCTCAATGAGTAATATGTTTTTTAAGGCACCAGGGGTGGGATTAAATAAATTATCTTCTTCCCACTCCTTTTCGAGTATCTGCAAGTGTTTCTTTTGTGACAACCCGTTTAGATTATTGTAATGCACTTTACTGTGGGCTGAGCCAACAGGCACTTTCTCGGCTGCAGCTCGTCCAGAATTCTGCAGCTCGACTTTTAACTGGAACTCGTAGATGCGAGCATGTGACACCGGTTTTAAAATCTCTGCACTGGCTTCCGGTGGGTTTTAGAATTGATTTTAAAATTATTTTATTTACTTTTAAATGTTTAAATGGACTGGCCCCCTCCTACCTCTGTGATCTTGTTCTGCCCTATGTTCCCTCTCGCACCCTGAGGTCGGCAGATCAGCTGATGCTGGTGGTCCCTAAGACACAGCGTAAGCTTCGTGGTGACCGAGCCTTTTCTGTCGCAGGTCCACATCTTTGGAATCAGCTACCCATTGAGATAAGACAGGCTCAGTCTCTGCCTGTTTTTAAGTCACTTCTTAAAACTCATTTTTTTCACTTGCTTTTGATAATGTTTGATTTTAGGTGGTAATATTGTTTTGTTTTATAAATGTATTTTTTAGTCTATGTGTTGGTTTTTGTGTACAGAAACTTTGGCTGAACTGTAAAGTATTTAAAATGCTTTATAAATAAAGCTGGTATGGTATGGTATGGTATGGTATAATTTTGTATTATGTAAATGTAACTCAGGGTTATTTATGCACAATTTTGACATACTACTTTTGTTTCTTGTACACTTATTTGCTTGAAATAAACATGAACATATAAGAGTGCCCCAAACCTTAAAGACTCGGTGCTTCTCGCTCAGAGTGTCGAACAGGGTGTACATGGTGTTGAGCATGGAGACCACCTGTAAGGGCGTGATGTGGCTGCAGATGCGTGTGAAGCCAACGACATCACTGAACAGAATGGTCACATCTGGGAACACCTGGAGACAGAGGATTACGCAGAGCGAGAATCCATGAGGAACGACATACTGTATAGATCCGTAATGACGAACAAAGAGGATCAGAGGTTAGACTTTTATCCACTCGGGTTTCACTAGAATCTCTTCAAGAAATGATAGTAGGACTTTTGTTATGTGTCTCTTCAACACGAGAGCACACACTGATCCGTTTCAGTCCACCTTTGATCTGTTGCAGCGCAAGAAAGAACTGCAAACACTTCAACTACAAAGAGACGAAGTCAGTCAGTAACTTGTAAGAAACAGCCTTGAGAGGGCTTGAGAGGTTTTTCATAATCATGACATTTGTGTTTCCCATTATACATTTTATTTCCAATACTTTCATACTGCTTAAAGCTCAGAGCTGATTGGCTGAGTGAGAGTGGTCCTTTACTTTTCACTTTTCTGATTTAAAAAACTCTTAAGATCTGAGCGAAGGCCAAAAATTCTTGCATGTGAAGCCGATTGACAAAACCAAATGCTTTAAAACTGTTTTAAAGCGTGAGAGACTAGAATAACGGATTCTAATGCGTAGTTCAATTTTGTGGAAGTTTGACCGTTCGGTTCCCCAGCTTTAAACTAATGCATGGTTTCTTTAATTGTATGTATATTGAGAAAGCAACTTTGTATGTGATTAAAAAAAATTTGTTTGTAGCGTACTCACCTCACATGTGTTGACAGCCGGCTCTCCTTTGCGCAGCCTCTTGGCCACAGGCTTGGGGATCATGCGGTACAGGAGGTCATCTGTCTTCTTCATCTCATAGTCCAACATCTTCATGCTCTCCTCCAACTTACTGGACTTCTTCTGCTCCTGTTTCCACAACAAGGACAGAGAAATATGTTTATATTGACAACATTTTTCCGATTTGAGAACGACAAGCGAATGCCGAATCTAAATCTACAATTTACAAATCCATTCTGCTTTTTAGTGACGATTAAGAGTTCCTTTCTTTGTCCCACAGTGGGGAAATTTTGGTGTTGCATCACAAGTTATAGAACAGTAAGAAAGAGGAGCACACGGCACACGTTAAGTGAACAATAGCTATACTAATTAAAATAAAACAAAATCTCTTACTCTAGCATCAATAATATGTATAAAATCTCTATCTTGAAAATAATAATAGATAGAACATTTGGCAAAATAAGAGGCAAGTATTAAGTACTGTGTATTCTAGTGCAAGTGTAGTTATATGTTAGCATCTGTACATTAGCAGCAGCATGTTTACATCTGTACATTAGCAGCAGTATGTTTACATCTGTACATTAGCAGCAGTATGTTTACATCTGTACATTAGCAGCAGCATGTTTACATCTGTACATTAGCAGCAGTATGTTTACATCTGTACATTAGCAGCAGCATGTTTACATCTGTACATTAGCAGCAGTATGTTTACATCTGTACATTAGCAGCAGTATGTTTACATCTGTACATTAGCAGCAGCATGTTTACAACTCTACATTTGCAGCTGTATATTGCACATTCTGGTATAAGATAAGGATATCGCAACGATGCGAGAATGACACGCGGAATCAAGTTGGCAGTGTTCATTAGTCGTCCTTATGGTTTGTTGTACAGTCTGACAGCAGCAGGAAGGAAAGACCTGCGGAACCTCTCCTTCACACATCGAGGATGAATAAGTCTGTCACTGAAGCTGCTCTCCAGAGTGCCCTGCAGGGGGTGACAGTCATGGTCCAGCATAGATCTAAATCTCAAGATGTCATTATATCAGGGCAGGGCCTGGTTAGTACTGTGATCAGAATCAGAATTTTTATTCCCACGTAAGTAACAAAGTTACCACTTGGAAATTGTTTTGGCAGAGAGCGTGCCACTTCGTCATTTGCGGCGATGTGTGATGGGAGACCTCTGAGAACAAAAGGTTCCACAGAGGGGTGGCTGCAGCTGTGAAGTGCCAAACTGTTGTTGTGTCCTTTGGCAACCACTTCACACATAGCCTATGAGTCTGGTGTGTGTATGTTTGTGCATGTGTGTACAAGCCTGCATGCGTATCTGAATGATCGGTGGTGATCGGTGAATAGCACATATTGGTTGCCTCGTTTCCATCAGTCTACCCCAGGGCAGCTATGGCTGAAATACTAGCCTACCACCACCGTGTATGAAGAGAATGAATAATCCTGCGTATCCCTTTTAAGGCTTACCACGGCCAGGCCCCTAGCTACATTAAGAAGCTATTATCACCATTCTGCGCTCATTGGGGAGACAGGGCACCAGAGGGGATTGTGGATACTTCTGAAACTAACTAACAGTACTTTAATCAAATGACTTCTTTATGAGTCATACACATAAACTGTAAATATTATCGGACGTAGTGACACCTATTTTTCCCCCGTTGAATATGTGTGATGAACATGTACCTTTTGAAAATGGCTGCGAGTAGCCCCTCCCGCAGGAAAATGGTGAAAAAACGCTTTTGCTCGTGTGTTTGCCAGCGCGAGTCAATTTCGTAGCTGGGGCTGTATCAGTTGTGCATGCCCTAGATTGATCCAGCCTGACACTTGGTTCATTCAAAAGTCCAGAGCGGATAAAATAGGCTGGTCTAAAAAAAAAAAAATCCCTCAGCATAGACACGGATCTGGAACTTCGCATTGAGCCAAGAGCCAACTTTTGGACCAGGCTGTATAGAATTCAATGGATACAGTTTCCGGCTACACCACCGTCAAGGAGCCAGATTGAAAGCATGTCAGCAAACATGCTCACGGACCTTTTTGAGCCAGGACCCGCCCCACTGGTCCTACATTGTATTTTGCCTGTTTATAAGTACATTGTTCTTTGTTTGATGGCTGTGACGCACTTTCGAATCTGTTTTGGAAAAGAGCTATAGAAATAATTGTATACTATGATCATCATTGCCAAGTGAGGGGTCTTTGCGTGTCATGAAAAGCGCACAATACCAGCATCATATTAATTTGTGACTAACTGTTATAAAAGGGGTCAGCAGAATCTTGTGAATCCATCTGAAAAGCATCCATTATCTTGTGAGTGACTTGAGTGAACCTGTATGAGTGCTCTCTTCAGTTCTTCAGACTGCTGTGTCCCGGCCAGCACCAGGTCTCTGCTGGAGTCGTGCATGCTAAGGTCGTTAATGTACAGACCTGTCTTGAACATGGCGCTCAGGCTCTCCATCCTGCGGACACCGTGCACAAATCACAACGTCGAAATAAAGACAGTCCATGCATTTTACAATTATCCAATGCTCCAATTGCTCCAATAAAGAGCATAATAAGAAATAACTGGAATGCCACCCCAAAAGCCTTTTCATAATCTACTGTGAAACACAAGTCATAAAACAGGAAAGAGTGAATACTACGGAAACAGCTGGAAAAATAAGTTATTTACAAATAAGCTGTTTTATTGTGAGTCTGTGATGCGATTTTACGTTTGTGTTGTTTATACAGTCCTGCAGGGTTTGACTGCGGAAAAAATAGAATGTTTTTAGAAGGAGGCGGGATGTTTTTTGGTAATGTACTCTGCTGAAAACACTCACATGGAAATAGGGCCCCATTAGCTCCACAAGAGCTGCACAGTCTGATTAAAAGCTAATTAGCAGCTCATTTCATGCATGGTAAAGTGCTCTTAGAATGGGACACTGATTTGATTCATTGCCCAGGCTTTTATTTTCAGCCATGTAATTCAGTTTTGCTCTTCCCTTTTGTCGACTGTATTAGTTTAGCAGGCACATTTAAATAATAACAACATTCTGTATGTAAATCTGGAGACATAGGGGAGGGTCTTACACAGGCGTTCCAAGAAAGATGATGGACTCCCATTCTGGCATGTATCTCATCTGTCCTTTGAGTCTGAGGCAGCGGCTGCCATCGCCCCAGCTCTCCATCGCATTAGCGCTGTTACCATCTGAACGAGCACAAGACAAGCATTATGTATATTTCTTATATCGTCATTTCGGGCCTCAAGGAACTCCCAGGACACTCTGTAGGGCTATGTCCCTCAGCTGGACTGGGAACACTAAGAGATTCCCTTAATATAGCTGGTTAAAGTGCTGTCACAGGGAGAGCGAGGTGTCTCTGCTCAGACCGCTGTGACTGGGAAACAGATAAAGCGAAAGAAAATGGTTGAAATAAGTGAATCGTATTTTCAGGATTTTGCACTGGTCTATACGTTCCCACCCCCAACCTATGGTCATGTGCTTTGGGTAATGACCAAAAGGACAAGATTGCAAATACAAGCAGTCAAAAAATTGCTATAGGTCGGCTATAGGTGCTCCCTTAGACATAGACTGAGGAGCTACACAGGTCATGTCAAGAGGAGCCAGTTGAGGTGGCCCGAGCATCTCTTTCGGATGCCTCCTTGACGCCTCGAGTAGGAGACCCCAGAGAAAAACCCAAAACACCCTGAAAGGAATTTAATCCCAGCTGGCCAGGGAATGCCTCTGGATTCCCTGGGATGAGCTGGAGACAATGTGAATTGATTGGGAAGTCTGGCCATCTCTGCCTAGACTGTTACCCTCGCTACCCAGCAATGCATAAAGCAGAAGAAAATGGATGGATGGATTTAGTTTACTGTTTGATACATTTGTGTAAATGCCAAATCATGAGATAAGCAAAATGGTACAACCTTTATAGTCATCTCCAATGATGGACTGGAAAGCCATGAGCTCCACATCGACATCAGCCGAGCGGTTTACGTTTTCGTAGTCTGAATCTGTGAAGAAAAGAGCCGACACAGTGATAATCATATCTCCAGCAGAGGCCAAAGATACATCCAGACCCTTTCAAACTATAATCAAGACATCAAACAGGTACCGTGTCAGTCTAGATGTTGACATGAAGACACAGATATTCATTTAGCTGAACTCCTGCTCTTTCCCCCATTTAATTAAGAGATGTCTGTCTGATAAAGTGAAGTTATCTGACTGCCCTTTCACACCAGACACACACCGCTGCGAGGGTTTACATGGCTGCCCCTCTTACTCTGGACGCGGTTATGCAGGTTTCTCTCCCTCTTCACCGGCTCCTTGGACATGATCTCAAACAAGTTGTTGGGGTGGGAGATAATCTGCATGAAGATTGAAAGAAAGACGTCTGCACAATTATTCAATGAGACAAGACCAATATTTTTTTGCCAGTAAAGAACAAATATAATGCATTTTTTTGGTCTATAAGAAATGTAATAAAACTTTATCACTTGGTCATTTCATAATTAGAATATGAAAAAATAGTAGAGTAGAAAATATATTGTGAACTATGTATGAAGGGTAAATAACAATAATGCTTTGCACCTATAACTCCCTATGCTACTACCAGAGAGAGGTGCTGAATTTAATTATTTTTTAATCCCCAAAAATGATTTGTTTCCGAACATAGCCATGCATTTGTTAATAACATCTCTTCACCTGAGAAATTGACAAAAATAATTTTGTTTTAAAAGTGAGGGTGATGTCATAGTGGTAAAATGAATCATACTATTACCAGACTGAGACGGGAGCTTTTTGACAAAAGGGGCAGAGTTACATGTCTGTGCGAGAAGTTTCTCATATTTGCATGGCTATAGCAGGGGTACCTAATTTTTGTATTCATAAAAAAACACATTGTGTTTGTACCAACGGATACAATGCATATTTAGAGCCATGTGAGTCAATATTTGACTCTTTGGGCTGAGAGCTGAGGGTGGTCCCCTTTTTCACTTTTCTGTCTGAAAAAGACAGAGGCCAATTGATTCATGCATGTGAAAACTAGTGATAGAACCAACTTGTTTTAAGAGGGATTATAACACATAATTCTATGTCTATTGGTTTGAAAATAATGTTCTCCAGCTTTAAGTAATTTACAAAACATTATTATATTTTCCACCTAGTATTCCATCTTTGTTGCCACCTGCTGGCACTTCATGGGCAAAATAAATAAATTAATAAATAATGAATCCATAATTGACCTACCATATTCCATGTGAACTCCACCAGGGGGCGAGCCAGCAAAAAAGCATCGGTGATCTTTTTCCCATCCAAGTCAGGGAAGACAGTGGAAAGTCCAGACCCAACGTTGTGCACCACCATGTCCTGAAACGGAGGTGTTAAAGCAAACTCTTGAATAACTAACTAACAAGTCATCTTTATTTATATAGCGTGGGATCACACAAAGAGCTAGGATTTTGTTGAGCTTTAGAAGACCATTTACCTGCCTGAAGACTATGTTAAAGGGGAAGACCTCAAAGAAGAAATCGGAGGTGATGGGAAGAATCTCCTGCTCTTCCTCGTCTTCTTTCATGATGTAGCGATAGGCAGAGTTGTCAAAGTTCAACCTGGGCCGATGGAAATGGGTGAGATTCTGTGTTTGCATGTGATGGACATAAATGTGTGTTGTGCGGTTACCTCATGGTGACATGCGAATAATCTCCCACCATCTGCTCGGACAAAACCTCCACATGGATATCAGTGTCATAGAACTGCTTTCCCATCTGCCGCAGCTGCCCCATGGCGTAGTGTAGGTAGCCCTTTCTCTTGCTCCTGCGACACAGAAGCAACATATTTCACTCTCTTTTAATTGAAATAAGGCAATGGCACCGACAGGCTAACTCACAGAGCATTCATATTTAATGTATTTGGTGTTTTTATTCATTAGTTACGGACACATCTCACTGCAACATTTTGATTCAAAATAAATCACTATCCTTTATTTTATTTTTATTGCATTATATTATTTCAGGTTGTGTGAAAATGTTATTTTATGTTTTATTTATTTATTTTGTTGTGTATTTATTTATTTTGTCGTGTATTTATTTATTTTGTCATGTATTATTATTTTTTATTTTATTTTATTTATTTTATTTATTTTATTTATTTTATTTATTTTATTTATTTTATTTATTTTATTTATTTTATTTATTTTATTTATTTTATTTATTTATTTTATTTATTTTATTAATCTAATGCCACAGAGGGGAGAATTCCAAGCAAGGCAATTACAAGTCGTTTTTGCAGGAATTCCCAACAGTATTATCGGAAAATCCAACAATAGAACAGTCATTAGATCAGCTGATCAACCAAAGTTTACAATGACGATTACAAATCTTAAGAATACGGATTAAGCTAAGAAAAAACTGCAGAGCACTTGTATTAGAAAAGCCTTGTGATGCTTTCAAAGGTGTTTTGTAATTTACTAAATAAACTTAATTACTCTCGTTGGTAAATGCTGCCGTGAGAACGTTACACTTGACCCGCCTCACCTCCAGCGTGAGCGTGCACTGGTGTCTGTCTGTGAGTCTGAATGGGTAATTGGTTTTGTGAAGTGAAGCGCTTTGAGTGCCTTGAAAGATAGAAAAGTGCTGTATAAATGTGACCATTTACTAAATTGCTGTCAAACATACAGTATGAACAGATGGTCGGCAAACTAAATCACAAATTCTTGCACCAGAGTGTATTACTGATTTATCTGCAGATGTATACATACAAGTATACATTTCTTGAACTCGGATGCAGTTTTTTATACTTGCTTCTTATTATGATAAAGACATGAATTAGTATAGAAATAGTACTATACTTAATATTCACGTATTTTGTGTTGTGTGATCTTCATTCCTACTGTTCTTTAATTTAGTTTCTAAACCGTGATGCAACACTTATTTTTACTTGTTTACTTTGAGCATTTGATTCTCACACATGGTCTGGTGCTGCAGCCCAAAGTGATAAAACAAAACTATGAAATATCTGCAGCGAGTGACTGTATGTGTCTTTGCAGTGATCAAAATGATTTGTCTGTATTTCTAGTGTCAGCCTGGTTCGTACCTGTGCTCTTAAATGCATCTGCTGGCCTTGGCACAGTTGTTTCTGGTTTACGTGGTTAGTCTCTGTGTCACCACTGTTTTCTGGTTTGGCTGTCAGACTCCTGCAGTGTCAAGGTCCTGGGTTGGATTCCACCTCCAGGCCTTTCTATGTGGAGTTTGCACGTTCTTCCTGTGTCTGTGTAGGTTTCCACTACCACTAAAAACATGTACAATAGGTTTGAATCTAATGAGTGACTGAATGGATGGTGTTGGTTGGGGGCTTTGATGCGCCAGTGTGTTCTGAAGAATATCTGAACTCTCAACGATTGTAAAGCGCTTTATAAATTACTTACTTACTTACATTTGATTAATTGTCTATTCATAATAAGTGCATTGATGTCCTAAAAGCCTGATATGGAGAGTATATGAGTTGAAAAATGTCTACAACACTAAAGGTGGTCTGTCCAATGTTTTTGTTGTGTCCACATCAAGAAATAAATAAACATACCAGAATAACCAGACAAAAAAACTATTTAATTGGCTACGACAAACTGTTTTTCCACAGCTCAATTGGCACGCATTTACAAGGGCTTTCTCGATCAAATTCCATTGGACTATTTGAGTAAACCGGTTTTCGATTATGCTTTGTGACAAAATGGGTCTATCAGTGTGCCCCAAGGCAGCTGTGGCTACAGTAGCAGTTTATCGCCACAGTGTATGGAGTGAAAGAATACTAACACGTGAAGTGTCCTGGTATCTTGAAAAGCATTACAAAAAACCAATACATTATTATTATTATGGTTCATTATAATAATAGTCCCAGAGCTTTCCAAGTTCTTTCACTCTCTGTTTTCCGTAATAAAAAAGGAGAATAAAAACAATGTGGCACTCCTTGTTCCCCTGACCTGTAGTGCAGAGTGACCCCGGTAGCGGACTCCTCCTGGCAGAAGAAGGTCGGAGGCTGGACCTTTGGGTAGCTGAAGCGCAGATATTCGTGAAGGTTGTCCAGGCCGTTCACGAAGTCGCGCACATGGCGACCCAACACCTGCACGCACACGTTACGGAGGCATCATTATCATCCGTCATCCCAGAAAAGTTTTTATGCATTTACATTTTCACCTTCAAAATCCTGTCATATCCGTACTTTCCCACAAACCCGAGGAAGTAGACCCCCCAGGAGTTCATGAGCTCATTGTAAGGTGTTCCTGTCACTCCGCTGGCAGCTTTTGCGATGCGAGGAATGACGCTCTCACTGTAGACCTGACAACATCCAAACACTGAGTCACAAACAAGCTCAGGATATATTCATCTCAGAATTCTCAAAATGTACTAAATTCTGACATTATGAAATCTAATCACAAACAAAAGCTTTACTATTACATATATTAGATAGATATATGTATAATATCTATGACTATGTTTTAGCAGCACAATTTAGGTCTAAAATTAAAATAAAATCACCAATATGATCCGTAGTACATTATTGAATAATCTTTGCCTTTGATTATGTGTGAGTTGTTGCATTTAATGTGTAGCACTTTGAGGTTTCAAAGAAAAGTGAGGTGCATTACAAATAAAGGGAATTTTTATTATTATCATTTGTGTTATTTATTTTTTGTTAATTTAATGTATGACTTTTTTACATTATTACATATTTATCTCATCCATTTACAGACCAACACAATGTGCCTGTAAATATTTTAAGAACAAACATTGTACAGGTTTTCTTGTTTTCTCTTATTATCAAATATGTTCTGCAAATAATTGCATATATATCTTGTCCATGTTTGAAAGAAGTACAAAAATGAATGAATGCATATCTTTGTCCATAAAAAAGTTTAGTCATATTTGTTTGTATTATGTCAATTCAAGTTTAGAATGAGAAATAGTGTTTAGTAAAGCAAGATCTTAAGTTGCCTTTTTTTATTTTATTTTAACATATGTTGACGCATGCAATTGACATTATCAGTCAATTTCATACAATTATGATACAAATATTGAAAACGAATCCACTCAGAAGCATCATACGCAAAAGGAGATAGATCAGTCCTTTTCAATCCAATAAACAATGCAGTAGTTTTGACACTATTTTGAATGTTTCTTTGTGTTTATTTGTTCATTTTCTTCTCGACCTTAAAGGTGCAGTATGTAACACGTCTGATGCCACCTGTTACCATGGAAATATTTTTGAGTTTCTTCGAACTCACTTTATCAAACATGTAGGAATTTCATTTGCATTTTCTGCCAAAAACTTGGAGCAGATTCAACTCTCTGCAGATATAACCTGGCCTACAGTGATGTTGTTTACTTGTCAGGGTAGATAAATGTGTTTAATACCATTCTGTAGATCAGACTATAAACCAAAGACAATAACAGAGTAAGACCCAAGCCACCTCCATGAGAAAAGTTACATATAATAATAGTATACATACACACACATATATGTTTAGTGTCATTAGTTTGCCTATCGCTCACTACACACACACACACACAGGTCAGTAAACTTTACCTGGTGAGTGACAAACGAGTGTAGCCTGACATCCGCCCTCTCCCGGACCAGTTTCCACACATCGTCCCCGTACGACTCCTTGATGAAGTCGTGGAGGCTCTCGCACAGCAGCCCGTACATCTCCCCTCCAACTCTGTCAAAACAGCTCCTTCCACTGATTGACTTCTTCCCACAGGCACCTGCGAGCGAATCAAAAAAAGTTCACAATGATGTCTCCTTTCCTCACCCGCTACCAGCAGAATTTTAATGCATTTAGCTCTCAGGACTAAAACGATAAAACCATAGACATAAAACTGCATATTGACCTTGCCCTGGAGACTGTACCTGCGGAGGTGGTTCACGTTAGCAGGTCAAATAGTGTTTCCACTGAGCTCCGAAGGGACAAATGGTTTTAAAGGTGCCTCATTTAAACTGGCCCTTGAGACTGTAGAGACCTGTTCCGGTGGCAGCTGTCAGAACCTGGTGCCTGTGACACAAACACACCGAGTGCTCGAGCAACCTCTCAAATCCAGATGACACCAGTGGAAAAAATATTGTACAACATTATGATGGTTTTTGTGTAATAGGTTGCGTTCATGTGACATTTTGTATAAAGCATGTATAGTTTAACATTTGTGGTGGAGGGCAGCTGACCAAACTTTCCTGTTAAATACGCAACACAAAAAAAAGATTAAATATATAGTTTGGCTGTTTTTAGTCTTAAAACAAGATTTGACATTGGGACGAAGCCATTTAGTCCTTTTTCAAGAAATGTTGCTTTATTTTCTCATTCCAAGGAAGACATTTCCTGTAAGAAGAAGGTAATTGTTTCTTGTCCCATTAGAGAATCTTGCTTAAATGCAGTTTTAATAAATGTTTCCAAATTTAAGCAAATGTTTTACTTATTAACTATCAAAGTTCCAAAGTGTAGTTGTTGGAGCTAATGTCTCAGTAATCCCTTGGCCAGTCCACATGAAACAAAAACTGTCTAAGTAAAATCATTGACATGTGCTGACAAATAAGACGTATATGAAGCGATTGCAAAAGAAAATAACCCATATTGAATAAACATTTCACATCATCCTTCAACATTCATTCAAACACTGTTGTCTTGTTTTTATCTTAAAATATTTATCTCTCTACAGTAACTATGGTCTGATTATTTTCTCATAAAGGTTTCTGGAAGTGGTCACAACATACAAAATATAGACATGATCTTGGTCTGTAAAAAGGAAAATGAGAATTCAGACATGAAAATATTAATAATGTGGCAGGTTTGTGAATACAGTGACTATAATATACTGATCTGAGAACACTAGCTTGTTGGTACCTGACCTCTAACTGAAATAGAATTCTAAAACAAGACCCCGACCCATTCAGCGGTTCTGAAAAAAACTACAGGTTGTGTTTATGTTATAGAAATCTATTGTTGGCTCTTTGGAATGTGGTGAGGTCAGATGAATGCAACATATTTACGGCCAATGTGCAGCACAGTGGCAAAGGTTGGACTCCTGAGGTTCCTCTGGGCTCTCAAATATCTATCACCGATCAAAAAAAAACATGTCAGAGGGCTTCCCTAAAGACCAGGGTCCTAATCCAACAACTTGTTTAGACGTTCATTCTTTATCATGAACTATGATGTCATGTCTCATAATGGAAAGACTAACATAAGGAGAACACATATTTTTAGTTAAGGATTTGGATTTCAGGCAGTGACCTTCAAACATTTTTAGAAAAAGTTAGTTTGTAATTAAGTTATATTCTTTTGGGATTCCTTTTATTTAATATATAAACTTTGAAATAGTGGTAAACAACAAATCAGTTTTTAAACCACTTAAAATAACGTGTGTGTGTGTGTGTGTGTGTGTGTGTGTGTGTGCGTTTGTCTGTGTGCAGCTTCACTGTCTGTGGGTTTCTCCACAGTCATATAATGCTCCATGTGGAAGACGACTTTTCATATTTGAAGATTTTGAAAACGTTTTGAAAGTAACAACTAGTACAGGGGTCTCCAACCTGTGTCTCAAGAGCTATCGGTAGCTCGCCAGCCGCTTTCAAGTAGCTCGCCTAAAGATATACAATTTAACAAATGATCTTTAATTAATCCATTTTGAGTCATTATATATCTATTATAAGTAACAAATTTAGGGTTATACAGTAATAACAGTATATTTTATATGTGTTCTCCTCTTTTATGTAATTTCCTCTATTACATCAATTTTTATTATGACTGCAAAAAGGAGTAGCTCTCTGCCTCTTCTGTTGTATAAAAGTAGCTCTCCGATTGTAAAAGGTTGGAGACCCCTGAACTAGTACATGTCATTTGTTAGCACCTATTAAAATCAAAATAGCATTTTATCTATTTTATTTAACAAGCAATGCAATACTCATTAACCTATGATTACAGCTGCTGTATGAGTAAGGTTTTGTAATTCCTCCATTATTTTGTTATTATTACAAAAGAAAAGTTTAAATAAACTTATATGTCCAGGCGCCGGGCACTTGCAGTAAAACTTTTCTCCTTCTGCTAGACATAAATTCCTGTGACTTGGTTTATTTTCTACTGTCTGTCCTGAGCTGGGGCTTCCCACTGGGCCGGCAGAGAGGAGGCACAGTGCAGGCGGCCAGGTACAAAATCGATATCCAATCTCAACTGGGATAAAGAAAATGTTTTTTCCCTCACCTCTCCTGCTGGGCTCAATGATTTAATTTGTTGGGGGAAGGCGCCTCTGAGTCCCAGTGGAGGAGCGCATCCTGACCACCAGACGGACAAGAAAAAGTAAGCATTGTAGATGATTGCCATGACACCTACAAAAATGAATGATAGCATTTTTGACATTGTACACTTTTTTACGAGCAGAAAAGGTAATGTGAGAAATGACACAACATGTCATCCTCAATATACAGCTGATTCTGTTGTAAATATTGTTGTTTTTGATACTTGGAATTGAGTTGTGAATGACATTATGGTGTTTACGTTTCAAACATGATTTTTATACTCTATACTGGCCTCCTGCTGGGACTTTGAGGAGCACAGGGACTGGCCTCCTGCTGGGACTTTGAGGAGCACAGGGACTGGCCTCCTGCTGGGACTCTGAGGAGCACAGGGACTGGCCTCCTGCTGGGACTTTGAGGAGCACAGGGACTGACCTCCTGCTGGGACTCTGAGGAGCACAGGGACTGACCTCCTGCTGCTTATGCCCCTGAACATGGGGAGGCAGCATTTCAGATTTTTGCAGCTAAAATCTGGAATGATCTTCCTGAAAATGTGAGACATGCTTCTTCACTGACAATGTTCAACTCCAGGAAAAAAACAGTGGTGTTTAGCTGTGCATACAACTCCACTCGTTTTAATATGCTGCGATTTATGTTATTTATGCCTTTTGTGATTTGGGTGTTTCCTTTCTTGTATTGTTGAGCACTTTGAGTTGCCTTTTGTGTGAACTATGCCATACAAATAAACTTGCCTTGCCTTACCTATATGTGGACGTACTCTTCAATCATTAATATAGCAGCACAATCAAACATACGTTGATAGGTGTTTTCAAAGCAGTCGTTTCAAACATTTTTTTTTAGAAGAATGACATGACAGCAACCCCTTCACAAGCCATTCTTTTACCGTGTAGCTCCAGAAAATACAAATGAACTAAAAAATATCAGAGAGCAAAGGTCAGCAATTATAATTTACGATGCTTGGACAGTCGGCCCACTGAGGGCTATGTGTGCAGCTCCCATAACTCAGAGTAGTGTGAAAGAGAAGGACATCAAAGGTCTGAAGTCATTAAGGAGAGAGGAGAGAACTGCCTCACATTTAAACCTCTGACCCCAAACGGGAAGAAAAATCTCAACCTGTGATCGCTCTAACCTCATCAATTTTACAGCTCCTCTGAGGACACTGGGCACGGACCAACACAGGTGGGCCCTTGAAAGCCATTAGGAAAGGAGAAAATAGCTCCGTTACAACATGTTTTACACCAGGAAGAAAATATATGTGTGTTTGGGTGCTTCCTGTCAGCTCACCAGCTGCTATGGCATACGTGAGGGATCAGGTTTTTATTATGGGAGAGGCCAGAGCTGCATGTAAATCTTGGGACATGCACTTCTACCCTAATCACCCCCTCGTACCCCACCCAGGCATCGTCGTTTAAACCCCGCTGCTAAAAAGAGCCCAGTGAGCTCAGCCGCCTCGTCACCATGGGACGTTTTTATACAGAGGGTGTCAGACAGGACAGAAGCATCACAGAGCAGGGCACAGCACGCAGCCGTCCGAGGCGACCACAGAGACAACGAGACAGGTCGGTTTGAACAGACACGAGATGGTGCTGCATGAATTTTTAGATAAATGTAGGTGTGCAAAATCCTGAATTAATTGATTACATTCTTCATGTAAAAACAAATTAAAAATTGTGCTTTCTCAACCTGACATTTTAGCAGATTAACAGATTATTATAATGATACAATAATAATATTAACAAAAATAATAATAATAATGGACTTTTGTTGTTAAATGTAGGTATGCAAATGAAAATAATAACTGATTAGGTATTGTATTTGTTTAAGTGTTTTGTTCCAAATTGGACATTATGCATAAGCGAGGAACATCACAATACAAAAAGCTTGGCAAGAGCTTAAAAGCCTTGAGCTTTTGAACTGAGAATGTTGCTGTTATTTCATTATTTAGAGCACAATAATCAAATAAACATGTGTCCATGTTTTTTTTTCACTTAAGCAGAAAGAAAGAGCATAAATTACCAACAATATCTAGTCAATGTTCATGTTTGCTCTCCAGTATGGATCATGAACTGTGTATTTTGTGAATGAAGTCGGTCCTTCTTGAACACTCTTATGTTGTTTACAAATGACACAAATAACAGGAAAAAGAGGGCGAGGGTCGAGTCTTCATGGGCTAAAACATGAATGAACACAAATATAGGAGGAAAAGCGATGAAATACATGTGCTGTGTCTATCAGAGAACCATGATGATGATGATGATGATGCAGCCTGGTCTGGATAACGCAACCAGACTGAAGATGATGCAGGCTCAAGCTTTGTGCAAAGAAGCCAGAGGAGGTAAGCTTCATATCAAGATAAAAAAACACATTTAAAGACATGTCTTCACTTAAAGCATGGGGAGCTCCAACTGTGGGTCCAGCCGCTGCACACACGCTGTTCTCTGTCAGGAAAAATATTCATAAACATAAAAGTGCCGTGTCCATCGCCGGGGGATACAAGCCACATCCTCGCCCTCAGAGAGGCAGCGTGTTGTCAGGATCCAAACTTTCCCAGCGTGGAGAGCTTGTTTTCTCCTCGCTGTCAGCTCGCTTCACTTTAAAACCTCCAAATGTCAGTGATGTGCGACTGTATACGCTGCATAATTTACAAAGTGTGATCAAAGACAGCTCCTGGGGGTGACACAGGCTAAGACCTCCCAACACTTATCATGCAAGAGCCAGTGCCACCATCTTTCATCCGCACAGATCCTATTTATACGTGCCCAGTTACCCCTGCAACCTCGGACCACAACAAACATTACACAGGCCTTGACATCATCTCAGGGCTATTTCAGTGGCTCACAGTGAGTGGGGTGATATAATTTGAGAGGAGACCCTGAACTAAATCTGTGAGGATTTTTAACTTAGTGATGCTGCACAGGGGACTGGCGTTTTAAAAAAGGAAAAAAAAAGGCTTCCAGCTGTTCAAAGTTGACAGAAGTGGGATCAGAGACGACACGTTTACTTTACCACAAGACCTTATTAGTCTGTGTCTGTGTTTAAAGCAGATATGTGTTTGAACTATAAACAAGCAGGGGATTACTGCCTTCATCTGATTTTTTAACACCGCCTAATGAGAAGGATGATGTCGTTGAATTGACATTACCTTACATCAGTAATTGTGGTACATCATCATCATCTCTTTTCTTTTACATGAAAAAACGGAAGGAAAAAAAAATGAATGTATTAGCAAGACAAGATTAACATTTCAAACCTCAGTCTGACACATTATACAAAATCCAAGGCCAATATTTGACTATTTTACCAGTAGTTATACAATTCTGACATCGCTGTGACAACTTATAATGTAAAATGTAATTCCTCATTTAGAGATTTAAAAGTGGATTTGGTTAGTGGTTAACAATTACCTTGTTTTTTCATGCCAGCAGCCTATTGTGCCTGGTCCCTTGCTCTCCCCTGGTCCTTCTTCATTAAGACTTTACTTAAATAGGACTCAACATGGTGGATGGTTGCCACAAGATGGAAGCCCCCCTATTTGCAGTCTCATCTGCAGTGGGCAATGACGTTTATTGGGCGACACGGTGGCGTAGCTGTTAGAGATTGTGTTTCACAGTAAGAAGGTCCTGGTTTGATTCTACCTCCAGGCCTTTCTATGTGGAGTTTGCATGTTCTCCCTATGTCTGCGTAGGCTTGCTCTGGGTGCTCCGGTTTCCCCTACTTCTATAAAAAAAAAAAGTTGGATAGGTATGAATGTAATGAGTGAGTGAACGGATGGTGTTGTTTGGGGCTTGCGATGCACCAGTGTGTTTGGCGTCTCGCTTCAGTCATCATCGTGTGGAGAGAATGGCAAAATATTTGAACTCTCAACAATTATTTAAAAATATATATAATTATCATTAAAATGCGCTATGAAAAATGAAGATTTTCACTCACTTACTTTGTTTACATATAATTTTGGATTTGTCCATATGGCATGCAGACATACGGCCAAAGAGTGTGCCTGGGTATGTGGATAAACCTAATCAACATTTGTTTAAAGGGACTGTATGTATTAGTTTAAATTTAAATTATATCTGCATCTTTTATGTGTCTTCAGGAAACAGGCCAACGTGTACAATTCAAGTGGAGCTATTTGTCATAAAAATACAAAGATCACAATATCCACATTATTTATGCTTACAATTTTCAAGTAGATAATCCAATCAGAGAGCGGAGTGTGTCTGTTATCTAGTGCGTGTGTGTGTGTGTGTGCATCTGTGTGCGTTTCAATAAAAGATACAACAAAAATCACAACAGAATGTAAAAGTGACTGATGTTAGACCTGTACATTTGAAGTGACTGAGTTTGTGATTGCAGAGCATCTGAACTTGGGGAAAAAGGTCAGCGTTCCAAAAGATGTGATGATGGAGGAGCTGAACCTGTCAAACCGAAACCGTGGCTCCCGCATGTTTCAGGAGCGGCAGAAACGAGTCGAGAAGTTCACTCTGGAGAACTCGGCCAACGTTCCTCACAACATCATCAAAGTGAGAAACCGCCGACCTAAAAACAATCATATGGAATGACCTAGTATGGCTTTTTTAGTACAAAGACACTTTTAAAATCCCATTTCAGAAAGATAGATGTGTGACGTAAAATGAAATTATGTATAAATGTTTTTTTGTGTTTTTTTTTCAGATAGCTATCTCATTGATTTTATTGACTTTTAACATTTTCATTCAGCTCCTCTTTTTGATTATAATTTTTTTTTTTGACAGACATTTAAGTGAATGCATCTACTCACTACTGTTAATGAAATATGCAATATAAAAATACACATTGGAAGAGGAAAATGAGACTAGATCAATTAACACTAAATTAATTGACAAATAAAGGATATCTTATCGTATTAAATTATTTTGAGAGAACTTTGCAACTTGGAATTATTAGAAGACAATTATTTGTTCTGTAGCAGCAGTTGCAAGGTTATTATGAGGGGCCCAACCAGAAAAGTTTGGGATCCTCTTGTGTACAGGTGAAACTCAAACTTTGTTCAAAAGTTAATACATTTCTGTAATTCAAATTAAAATGTGAAACCAATTTTTGAGATGACTCTGTGACATCTATGACTCTCTACAACCCGTGAACCATTTATCAACATAACAAGTAGAGTCTTGATAAATCTCCCTTTGTGCTTGACACATAAGTTTCATATTGTAAGTTGAATTATAAAAGTAAGAATTTTGAAAGACTTTCCCAATTTCAGTCATCCAAAAAACAAATTGCACGTTATTCAAATAGATCCATGATTGCACTACATTCCTTTATAATTCTTCCAGGTTCCAACAGAAGCGATACCACCTGAACACCTGACACCAGAGCCACAAGTCGGAAAAGAAAACCGGACTTTCTCCATCCCGGGCAAACACAGCCTTGTTATGAACCTTCAGAAGACCGTAGCAAAGAAGGGCAATCCGGCCGTCCTTGCTCCAGGTAAACGATGGCCCGCTGTGATAAAAGGACAGTGACACGGAGCAGGACCAGTGCAATGTCACTGCAAAGTCATTATACTGATGAGGTCATAATAGCACCACACTCTATATTCTTTGTCCGCTTCTATTTATGGGACAGATCATGGGCAGGTCCAGCCTTGATGTCTTTTCAAGTCTGACAGCCTTTTTCACTATTCAGAATTCATGCTGAGAATAATTAGTGTAGTCTGTCTTGTAATTATAATGGCAAGCTTTATCAACGATATCGGCCCCTTCCATTTATAGGTTTGGACAGAATCAGAATTTCTTTTGTTTTGGACTCTCCATTATTTCAGGCACAAGCAATAAGCTGACTTTAATCATTCTTTAATTATGACTGGACTATAGTACTTTTAATTATCTTCTAAATTGTACAAATATCTTCATCCCAGGTTACGCTGGGCCTCTGAAAGAAATCCCTCATGAAAGATTCAACACAACAGTGATACCCAAATCCTACTGTTCTCCATGGAGGGAAGCCCTGGCCAACAAAGAGGAGCCTCTAAACCAACTGGCCGACGAACCACAAGGCCAACAACCAGCCAACTTCAGGAGCTTCAACAGGTAAATAAATATATGCATATCCGTGTTATATATAGATACACATACACGCACCTAACACCTATAATGTAATGATGGAAGCGCATCCCATCGACTTGGCAGCTAAACTTTCTCCAAGAATATAATGTATGGAGGAGTTTGCTCTGACATGTTATTCATCACAATCATTTCATGCTGGGCCCGACTCCATGTTTCCACCGTCTGGAAATGAATCCAGTCTCTGGCTTGCACCTCCTCAGAAAGTGACTAGGAGGGCTATTTTAACAGCCACTTGAAAGATGAAACCTTGAGGTGCAGTGAGTGTGTTCAATGGTGCTAAAGGATAAATAGATTATGATAAAAATGGTTTCAAGGATTTTAAGAACAAAGGTCAATTTTGGGCGATGAATAGCCTCCGTTAAAGGCTAGGGTTAAACACTGGAAAGTTTTTGCTCAATTAGAGATGTCAATCACTCAACAGTAAACCCTGAGGGGGATCTGTTGGCACTATTCAGTTAAGATTATGCAGCTCCAATTGAGTGAACTTCACTAGGTCAAGAGATCTTGAACCTGGCAGACTGGCCTGACCATATGTGGCCAGATGTTTGTACACAAGTAATAAAACTTTCACTATCACTTGTGCAGCCTTTTCTTTGAATGATGTGGCGTTTTCTTCCAGAGCTGCTGTGCCGTTTGGAGGCATGATGGCCAGCCAGAGGGTGGTCCCTGTGATCGGATATGAGGCTGTGGAATCGCAGACGCTGCCAGGAGCTGTTTTAGAGCGCATGTACCAAAGGCCCAACTTTAACAGAGCACCCAGGGGATGGGGCATCACTTACAGCCCTGAATCTAATGAACTATGAAGAGTGCTAATACGTTTAAGACTGAAACTGACCGGCTCCCTTTCTCCTCTTCTCTCTCCAGAAATTAAACTATTACTCAGTGGTGAAATTCACAGGGTTAGGACTGTCTGAAAAGCCAGCTAAAGAAATAAAAATAATTTACCAACACATCAGATGACAAAAAGAAGATTTAATGACAGTAAAATCTAATGGACATTAGCAATAGTAAAAAAAAAAGTAGTACCAGATACAATGTAATAAATGTTACATCCTGGTTTGGTACATTTATCTACGATCCTGGTGAGGAATAATGGACCCAAAAACTCTGACCAGCTTGAGTCCAGTCTTGAGTCAAGTAATATCTTACATGTCAAAGTGAGTTTAAATGTTCTTGGTAAATTTGTTTTGGTTAATTTAACCTCCATCACAGAACACTGGGCAGGGTCTCTGCAGGTACAGACCAGTTCAGGCTGTGCGGAGCAGATGTTTGCAGAGCCCATCTGTGTAATCAGGCCAGCACATCCAGTGCTTTCACTGTTCATGGCGCGAGCCGTGAGCCGAGTGGGCGCCCATGCGCTGCGGGTCCTGGGATGGATAGTGAATTTGACCAGGAGGTCTCATACCAATAGGAGGGGGCATAGGTGGGGCCATTGCACCCATAGCATGGAACATTGGGGGTCCATAACCTGGACGGGAAATAAAAAAATTAAACACATCCTAATAATGTATGCATGAATATGTATGGATAGTATGTATAAAAATTACCAGGTGGAGGTGGGTTCATCCCAGGAGGGGGCAAAATGTTCATAACAGGAGAGCTGTTGGGGTCAAGGTTAAAGTAGTTTGCAGACGTCTCTTCATCCAGGGGTGGTGGTGGGGGCAGAGCTGTAAAATAGAGGATTCAGAATGCGTTTCTTTTTTCAAATAAATGCAAAATGATGGTTTACCTCCAGGTAGACCAGGGACAGGTTCCAGCCTTGAACCCATCTCACTGACTCCTTCACCTTCTTTGCCTCTTGCAGCCTGAGATCTGGTCAAATAAAGACGGATTGGTGTCATTGTAAATAAAATGAATGAATGTGATGCGCTTAAAGTGTTTTATTTATATATAGTAAGTTACACACCTTCCCCATTTGACAGTTAGCCTTCGTCCATTGATAATAAGTTTGTTGAATGACTTTTCGGCCGCCATTTCAGCTGCATCTCGAGTAGCAAACTGAATAAATGCACACTGCTGCCTTTGAACTATTGTGATAGTACGAATTTCACCAAATTGGTAAAAGAAGCCCCTAAAGAAAACACAGAAGGTAGTATTTAAGAAATAATGGTCTATGGTTACTATAGATTTGTCCTGTTCAAGATCATACTTGAGATCTCCATCTGTGACATTGTCTCCCAGTCCACCAATGTATAGAGTAGTGATGGTCTTATCATCAGGCGGATCCAGGCGGGGCATAGTTGAGGCTCGCTTCAACAGTTTATCTGCTACTGGGTCATTGATGCCATAATAACGATCCTTTATGTTCTGGTCAGCAAGTGGATCGTCAGGATCTGTGGGCTTCTCGTGCCTATGAAAAAAAACAAAAAACAATAGTTATTTTTTTATACACATATAAAATGTCGGAGTTTCTCTGTACCTGTAAGGACACTCCTCTCCTCTTTTACATTCTCCCTTCACCCAGAAGGAGCAAATATGAGGACGATTCCTCTTGTAGTAAGGTGTGGTTCTGGCAAGTTTCAGCAACATGTCGCTTGAGCTGGGGGCTTTTCCAATCTGTCCTACAGCCCGGGTGCCGTCCGAGTTTGCAATCTGAAACAATGAAAACAACTAAATGATAAAATACAAGTTGGTATTAGATATACCCAGACAATTCAAGACCAAAGTACCTCTCTTTCCATGTTCTGCGTGTAGTACTCCTTATTCACATCAGACTTAGGAATTTCGTCTTTAATGGCAAGTCCTGTGTCTCTGACCTGAATAGGTAAACCTATCAACAACAAACAGAATTGTGTTGATGTCAGTGAAGGAAAACTAATGGACTAGTGAATATCAAATGGACAAAGAAAGGTCACCATATTCAAGATCCAACAGACAGGTTTGACAAACATTTTTCATTTTACTACATGTTTGACAAACTTCCGTCTTTTTGAAGCGCATCCGTGTCCCAGGGCACCACCGAAACACAGTGAAGGGCCGAGCACAAATCTAGAAGAAATTATGCACATTCTTATGTTTTCTACTACAATTTATAAATTGTGGTATGTACCTAAATCTAACTCACTTTGCATTCTTTCCCATATTTTTCCTTCGTCTGAGAAAAAAGTATTAAAAACACAATTACAATTAAATTCTCATTTGTACCTTCAATATTATAAAATACTCACCATACGGATGTAAGGGTTTTCTCCAAGGCATGTTTGGCAAAGAATGGGGAAGTCCTACACATTAATAATAATTAAAGATGAGCTAATTGGCTTAACAACAGCGTTATTATAATAGACCCAAACTCCAGCTTCAGTCAAAGTGCCAAGTGAGGACATCGGCTAAACTTCATTCAACGTGTTAAATTATGCACGTAGATCAGGGGTTAATCTAAGCTCTAGTGTAAATAGTGCCTGGAACATACATATACGAGTACAAGAGAGAAAAGGCAACTATATTCAATCATTCTTTTAACGCAGCAATTAGTTACATCAACTTTCCCAATAGCATTAACTCCGCTAGCAGCGTTAGCTAGCGGCCAAAGGGCCCGATGCCATTATAATACAATGATTGTTTTAATCTTTATGTTTCGTAGCACATGTGTTGTCCTTTTAGGCTAGGACCTTTATTAATTTAAACTGATCACAAAGGCATAAGCATTATCATTCAACATCAACTATGTGGCCACGCTGGCTAAAGTTAGCATGTAGCTTAGCATGTTAGCGGAAAGGAAGCTTTGTTTTAGTAAGCGCCAGGTTAGGGGCATCTTGACTATGTTCCAGATCACATTCACTCCGATCTGTGAAAAACACGTATAAGGTGTTATAACAGTGCTCTATCATATGTTAAAAAAGCATACCGCGTCTTCCCAGTTCTGTCTGTTGTAGGTGTTTGATCCTAGGGACGTCGCCATTTTGCACAGTGGCTAAACAACTCAACCAGAATGCACTGCGGCTGCGAAGGGCTTGAGCACCTGCAGGGGGCGCACTTCATCACTGCGACTGGACACCCGGCGACGAGTACAAAACACATTTGTAATATCATAATATAAAAAATATCATAATATCCCACCACACCTATGAAGATGTAGGCCTATAACCCAAGCCACTGGTTGTTATAATTCTGGCACAGGATTTGTTTGTATTTATTTCCTTTTTAAATAGCCTATTCTGAACGGTATGAAATCAGAGCATGAAAGCAGAGCCAGATAATTAGTTTTGCCACTTGTCATAGGACGGAAGATTGAAGCTAGTGTGTGAGATCATCCACTTACACTTCCCCACCTGTTTAGAGCTCGGTCAGATTGCTGCTGTGTGAAACGCCAATTAGTACTAGGGATGATCAGATTACAGACTGTCAGTGAAGCCCTCATGTTTATTTAATGTCAGGCTGGTGTCAAAGGCCAGTCATTTCTGACCTAAAAATGTGCAACTCTTTCATAACAGGCAAAGGAACCTGGACTTCCCCCACATTTAAAATTTAACCAAGCTCACATGCAATAAAGTAAATGTGCTTTGTCCATGAGATAAACATAGCAAAGGTCAGTTCAGCAAGATCTTATACTGAAAAGGTGGATGAAAAGAGGTCATGCTTTCATGGCTGTCTTTAACATGAACATGTGGTCGTGTGACTATCATGTGATTTGGATAAGACAGTTAATTTAGAGCTGTGTGCAGTGGTCTGACCTCCCTAATGGGTGTCAAGAGTTATGTGGATAGATTTAACATAGCCTAACATAATGTTATTGTTGAAATGACATCTGTTAATAAAGTAAATACTGCAATCATCTCCAATGTGCAATACTACAACTTCAGAATGTTCACTAAATGCCACTTTGAGATAAGATAAGATAAGAGATACTTTATTAATCTCACACAGGGGAACTTTAAATGTCACATTTGGCATGAATAAACACAAAGATTGTGCAAAAAGTAAGAAATGTGCAAACATGTTGATGCAGGACATATTATATACAAAAAGTGGCATCTACTTACCCTGCCCTATAAATATATAGTATGTAACTTTGCACTGTATAGATATTTTGAAAGACTGATATCGAAGCATTTACAGCTAGCTAAGAAACATAGCAGCTACTTATTTTGTACATTTTGTGTGCTCTTACAGCTGTATGTGCGCTGCCACACTGAAATTTCCCCTCTGTGGGAAGAATAAAGGATCTCTCATCTTATGTTTATTTAAATGGGGTATATAGTTTGAGGGCTTTAGGCCACCACATTTAAAATAGATGTTTATGTGTGTGTTTTTGTGTGTAATAGCTACTGAAATATACAGAAGCTATTATGATGTGTGTTACAAAACCAACATTTGTTAACAATAAAAATGTGTTTCTCCAACATAGGTCTTGAGCTTTAACTATAACAATAAATGACTAACAACAATGGTCTTTTTTGAAAACATAATCCACCCCAATAATGGAACCAGTCTTTGTTAGAGGCTTTATGGCGCCCCCTGTCGACCGTGATGGAGCAGAACACAGAGCTGCAGAAAGAGGAGCATTCTCAGATTTCCCGATCGCTTCCCAGGCGAGTGAGCTCCGAGCTGTGCCGCTGCTCTCACATCACGGCCGACAGAAACAAACACACGGACCAGCGCGTTGCAATCCCGCTCTTTGACTTGTACGTGTGGCGTTCGTGTATCAGGGTGAGTACATCCAGACAGCAGCCTCGGAGCGGTGTTTCGCACATGTTTCGTCCGTGGCCACTTGCTTCCAGGCCGGGGACGGGGAAGGCTGTCTGTCTGGCGCAGGCGGAGAAAGGCCAGCTCCGGCCTGGCTCTCCATGGCGAGGTGCGGTGCTGTTGTGGAGAAGAGCTGGAGCGTTTCCTTTTGCTTGTGGACCCGCACGGAGAATAAAGCTGTGTTGTTGAAGCGATCAGGTCGAAGTTTGCTGTCTGGGATTGAGCAGCTCACGATGAAATGACGGAATTCCTTTATTATTCAACATGGTACACGAATCGAGCAAGTTCAGTTTTGGTAACTTTTCTCAGTACGGTTTGGTATTAGGTCGTAGCTGTAACAATATATGTGCTCTAAACTGTATGTTATCTGGGTCTCTTGTTGACTATTCTCAATCAGTAGTTTATTGTTTTGCACGAAAGCACAAACAGGTCAGGAACCATTGCAAACTGCAAAGGATTACTTTAACTGTTGAAAACAGTGAATTATCATGAGTCTTAAAATAGTATTAGACATACATGTTGTGCTAAAAGGTTGGATTAGGCTAATATACTTTATTTTACCCTTAATGACACTCTAGACCTAATTCACTGTAGTATGTGGCAAAGCTACTTGTTTATACCAAGTTGCCTACAGATTACCCAGAAGTTGTATTGGCTGCAAAGCTAAAAAGTTATGCAATGAACAATGTATTTTTCTGTAACATAGATTCTGTGTGGAAATTGTGCACCTATTGAATGGCTGTGCAGGGAAAGGGGCAGTCCAGACCTGCCTAAAATCCATTGCCTTGGGGAGTGCTCCTATATTATGTGAGGGAGAATGACTCACACTCAAATGCATTAGACAGATTCATCTAAGGACTTTCTCTGGATTTTGCCTGAGTCTGAATGAGACAGTCCTTCTGGTGTCCTGCATCAAGAGATTTATTTCACCAGCGCTCTAAATTCCCCCCCAAAACCATGTGTTGTTTATCACATGTCCCTGGCTGTTTAAAACATTCAGGGGATTATGCCATTTGCAGATGAGGAGTGAGAAAATGGGCTTGCTCTTTCTAGTTTGTCTACGTTCGTGCAGTATTATTCATGCCATCCATTTCACTGGTGTTGCGAGCATAGATTACACACAGCCTCTGATGTAGTGTTGATAAAGAGGGGGATCTTATATCGCACTGTTTAGACTTAGATGTGCCCCAGAAATACTGTGTGTGCATAAAATAGTGCTGGCATGACAGTGTTTGATAATGTCAACAAGCTGCAATTGGCATTTTACCAGAAACACACATAATTTTCATTTCCAACCTCACAGATGAAAGCCTGAGTGTTGTTAGTTATAGTCGTGGGCATTCCTGTGAATCAAACAGAGGTTTAATTGTTTTGAAAACTCTGCTTGTCAAATCCAACGTTTGCAAAGCACGAGTAGGTGCCTAAAACATGCCACTGCTTGTATTTTTCCGAGTCAGTGCCCTTAGTAGTAGGCTTGGGATGTGAGGGCAGCTCTCTAGTGTGGGACTATACCCAGGCATGAAGTTCCCCTCAGCTGTTTAAGCACCACTTTGTACCACATGGCTGTATTTCATATCGTTTCTGCACACATGGCTATGACACGTCAAGGAATTTACTACTGAACAGGGCTCAAAATATCCGTTGTGTGACAGTCTCTATGTGCCTCCCTTAGATTACTGTAAGCCAGCGAGTTGGTCTAGTTACTGACTCATGTTTGACGGTTATTGTATTTAATAATTATTTTTATCAGTTCGTTGGCTTGTTATTAGTCATTAGTTTGCCAATCCCGAAAAGGTCAGTGAATATGGGATTTTGACTTGATAGACATTGGGCTGTTTCTGATTAAAAATACTTTAAACACATTTTAATTTCATTCTGCTGATGTTAAAAGACATAAAACATATCCTCAGCATGTTTAAGTCATATGTAATGGTGAAAAAGAGAGATTCATTTATTTAGTAATCGATTTGTTGTGATAAATTGATTGTCTTACAGCCCTAGTTTATTGTCTACTAGAAATGCATCTTTATATATTTTGGTTTAACCGTAGTACATTATCCTTCGCTGAGCTGGGCCAGGGTAAATACATTTGAAACGGCAGAGCACAAATCTGTATTAGCAAAACGATCCTGATAGCATCGGTAATCCTTTGGAAAACCTGGACAGTTGTTTTTAATAGCGCTTGCCCTTATCAGATTTTTGGCAGTCATGAGTAGGGGTGTCCAGTCCACATGTGTGACTAGCTGTACGGCTGAATGCAACAGTATACAGGCAGATCAGATTACTGAACGATTAGCCATGGCCTCCCATCCCCGGTTGAGGGAAATGATTTTCCACTGTCATAATTCCCCAGACTGAATTACGCAGTCCAGTGACTCAGATACTCAATACTTGTGCTGCACTGCCTAACTGTTGCTCTCTGGAAAAAATCGGAGTCAGATTGCAGGTTCAAAGTGCATAGGTATTGCTGCACCACTTAATCAAAGTTTGGTTCTGTGATTGGTAACTTAATTCTAGGGAGTTGGACCATGAGGAGAAATATATATGCAAGGTCAGTTCTTGTTGTTTTACAAAAAGGACACAGACAACAGCTTTGTAACACTAAACCCCTTCTCAAATCTTCCCCTGTTGTAAGCACATGTCAGCTAGCCGATGAGGCGATGTAAATCAAGCAGGCCTCCACTGGAATTTTGCTGAATGGAAAAGGGAACAGGGAAGAGGCTGGACCATGGACCATATTTCCAAGTTGCTTACTCCCCGAGGCAGGAATTTGATACATTCCATGGGCTCCTGTATCCCGACAAATAATGGTAGCTGAGGTGCAGCGTTTCATCAGATGACACTTGATTGGAGTGTAAAGTGCTGGTAAAGTAAGAGCTATGTCATACGCGCAAATGTAGTCAGCTCTGGTTGCCCGAGGGATCAGGAAGTATGGCACATGAGCAGCGCTGGTTATATGAGATATGGATTTTCCCGCTGTAGAAGACGGCAGAGTCCTTGCATTGCCCCACCCATCCCCATTTAGACAGAGACATTTATATTGATGCAGAACAAGTTTTAGCTATGCAAGCAGCGGGGCAACTCTCAATTTCTCTGCTATATTACCCACCATTGTGCAGTGATATGACCTATAGTGGCAGTTAAACTGAATAATAATTGCTTCCTAAATTACTTCTGACAAATAACTTCGAAGTCATTAGGTTGGTCTAGGCCCAGCTTGGCTTTTCTCGATGCATTTCGTGGCAAGGGCTTCTCATGGTTTCCTCAAAACAAGGACACAATATATTGTTAACGTGATAATGGAAAGTGCACTTTTTGGTATCTCTAAAGATTTGCAATAATGGTATAAAAGATGTAAGTTAACAGATAAGATAAACCTTTGTTTGTTTATTTAGTATAAATAATCAGCTAATATTCAGGGATAAGCTTTGCCATTTTCTGCTAGACTCTCGTGATACAATGGCTCAAAAGAACAAGGCACTACATGGCAGGAGAAAATCAAATGCTGAAGTTACAACATGCATATTAATAATAATAAATAAATAAAATATTGCAATATATTTCTATTGCAGTAATTAAAACCGCTCTCAACTTTTTGGCACTATTTTGCAGCTAGATTGTGAAGTAATTCAGTTAAACAATGTCTATACTAGCAGCACTATATGCTAGAAGTGCACATCGCCTGCTTCTGCACTAAAGGCTATTTATTTTGTAGACGGCAGAATAGAAAAATAGTCCTGTTTTATTTAGCGGTCGAAAAACAAGATCCCTGGTGTTAATGGACTTCACCTCAGTGCTACAGCAGACCCTCAGGGTACGGGGCATTCATACACTCAACCAAAGTGGAGGCCTGAAATGAAGCCATTTTCACCAAGAGACGAAGTCATGAGGATGCACCACTTCACTGCAGGATATTCCAACATAGGGCAGTTAATCGCAACTCATTTCTGCAATAATCAACTACTGTAGTAATTGCTAGCTGTTCTTTATCCAGACTCCAAAACATGTAAGTCCTAGAAATGGTCGTAAGGCAGTAATTGCTCTATAACACAAACAAATGTAATTGTCTCTTTTTAATTAAATTAGGACTACCTCCTGCTTCACTGTAGCTTTTTCTGCCTCCAAATACATTCTCTTATCAGTGTTCTAAACAACTAATCAAATGAACTAATCAAGAAATATTCTGTCAATAACTGTTACTTACAGTCCGAGTTCAACCCAACGCTGTCGTAAGTGCCATCAGTCGTATAGTTCCCCTAATTTCGTCTTTTTGTCTAAATCTTGTGAGTTTTGTAATTCATTCACATTGCAGTTCTCATAAAATCAGATGAAAACACTCTAAGATGTTCAGCAGCGTGTGTAAATCTTATATAAATGTTTTAAAATATTTAGATGTGTGTGTTCTCTGCATTGCATAAAGTGGTGCTAAAAGCTTTCCAAGTGAGAGCATAGGGCAGACAGGTGGAGGGAGGTTAGTGGCCCCTGTGTTTATGCAGTTGTCTGGTGGGCTGGGCTTGGTGTCTCTGCCTCACGCCGGATGTCTTGTGAGTTGTGACGGCCAGCGTGGTTTCTCAATATCAGATTCCAATACACACTGTGTTAATTGGCTAATATTGCTTGCAGATCTTGCCATGGTCTAAGTAAACTTCCTACATCTGCTATTTAATATGCTATAAAGTGTATTATTCTTGTATAGCATAAAAAACAAAAGTTTGAGGCAATGACATAATTATTGTTTCCAACTTTCAACAGCTCGATTCAATTTTCAATTCATCATCCGGAAATTGAGAGTATGACACAACAATAAACCCGGAAAGTCCTCCTATAACAACAGGAAGCACAAGGAGAGCGTCACTGTCAAACCTGGTGGTGGTAGCATCAGGAGTTTCACGTTCCCATACATTGGAATGGTTTGTGAAACAAAATATAAATGTTTTTGAAGGGCCTTGTCCAGACCTAAATCC